TCGAATTATTGAAGTAAATAGATTTCACTCGAATCTAGAAGCTTTATGTATATAGATTACCAAAACGCATAGGCATTTTACATTCAAGAAAGAACTCTTGTTTTACAATAATCAACTTTATATACCAAATACCGATAATCTACAAATCTACCTGATTTACGAAATTCATAACTCAATCTCAATTGCATATCTTAATGTAAAGAAGATATTTGTTTTTTTAATAAAATAATACTATTGGAATAAAATAATTCAAATTGTAGAACAATATATATAGAACTATCACTAATACAAGCACAACTTTATTTCAAGAGATTGTACTCTCAGTTTTTTATATCTATTACTTATTCTAATTTGAGCTTAGTAATATATCATTATGGATTATTACAATTTCAATAAAGATAAATACAATTATAATAATATATTTGTTATAATTAATCGATTTACTAAATAAGCAATTTCTATATTATATTATAAATCGATTAATTCAAAAGATCAAGTTTGTTTATATTTGTACCATATTTACAGGTATTATAGGTTTTCAGAGTTTATAGTCTCTAATTGTGATTCTCAATTTATATCAATTTTCTAGAAAGAATTCAATAATATTTTAGGAATGTAAGTTAAATGCTTGACCGTTTATTATCTGCAAATTGATAATCAAACTAAGATTTACAATCAGTATCTTTAGTAGTATTTGTAATCTTTTATAAACTACTATCAAAATAATTAATTTGAATTCCTACTAATGATAGATTATGTTCAATTCATACTTTTATACAAATCTTTAGGCAGTTAATCTCTATATAAAACTTTGTATAGCTATCTACCTTGCAATCCCTAGGATTGGAAACCCGATTCAACCCCACCAACCGATGATCTGAATATAACTAATATTAGAGAATATACCAAATGCAATAAACTAGCTCTCGATTGAGCAAAAGAGAGTATCTTGCATACACAAAAAAAGATATCTCAATCAGCTAATTCGCATCGCCGACCGGTAGACTTCGATGTTGGAGATTGAGTATAGCTTAATATAAAGGACTTTCCAATACAACAACCTTCCAAAAAACTGAATTACTCTACTTAGAGAAAATTCAAGATTATTAGATATACCAGAAATTCTTTTAAATTAAACCTACCTTCAACTATAAAAGTCTACCTAGTATTTCCATCTAGCAAGCTTCGCAAAGCGGTCAACAATCTACTTCCCAAATAAATCCTCGAATCATTGCCTTCAATAAATATCATTGGTGATATTGAATGAGAAGTAGAATATATCCTTGCTGTTAAGAAAGTATGTAGACAATTTAAATATAGGATATTGTGATTAAATATTGATAACAATCTCACCTAATATCCTGCCTCTGACTTAAAAACTGCCCCGCACTATTTCTGTAATTTCCACCTACAAAATTCCACTCTGCTAAAACCCCCTATACACTTACTAGAATGGATTTATCTTTATAAGAATGGAAAGGATAATTACGATTTTATAAACAATAATCAATATATAAATGAAAAAGATCGAAAGAACTTCTTTAATTTATTATTATAACAAAAAAAATCCTAATCTAACGAAAGACTGAAAAAGATTGAATAAAAACTAAATTATTAAGCTAACACAATAAAGAAAGTCTTTTCCTTTATTCAACAGGCTTAAATCAAATTAGAAAGAAAACCCTTGTGGGCATCAATAGTTACAATCGAGTGAAATACAATAACAAAGACTGGATAATTTAAACCGAAATATTAATTAAGTTCTTAACTAATAACAATAACAAGAATATACACAATAATTATAAGTTTAAAGATAAGACGACTCTTAGTTGCAATATATATAATAATAAGATCGAGCTTGTACTCAGTTTTATTCAATTACTTATGAGCTGCTGAAAGTTTCACTTCTACCTGAATCATAGCGAGTTGATACTGTTGCTCTAATTCATCTCCCCACTCTATAGTCTTGATTATATAACGCTTTGTGTTTTTCCGAGCAAAGATGAGAAAAAGTATTTCTTTCAAAACGCAATTCTTCAATTCCTTCTGTAAGTCAAGCTAAATAAAAGTTAGTATTACTATTAATCTCAAAACAGCTAATACTTATCTCTACCATATTACCATACAGAGCTATAGCTGATTGATACTGAAGAAACATCTTGCGAGTATTCCCCTCAAGTAAGCGTTTATACTTATACTTGCTAATCAAATAAAGCAAACAGCAAGATTGACTAGATGATTAGTCAGGAAGTTGATAGCAAATACTATTCCTCTTACCAGAAACATAACTATGAACATAGTTAATACAAACCCAATCATTCTTCCAAATATATTGTTCCTATTATAATACTGTCTTCTTTAATGATCTTTTATTTAGAAATCCCAATTTATTAATATCGATAAAGCCAATGCTTTTATAACAAACCATATCAAATTTACAATTAGATTGACTTTAGTATAAAGCCTTCAAGATCTTCTTCCCTATTATAATATCCCTATTAGTCCCGAGTTTATAAAAATGATATATCACTATGGCCAACTTATCAGCAAACTTCGTTTTGTAATCTTCAATACAATCAATAAATAGATTGTATTCCTCTTCTAAGTTTTATTTTGATAAACAATGGAACAGATACATCCACTAAGTATATCGAAGATCGACCCTATCTTCAAGTATATCATCCTTGGCATCTGTAATCGCACTTGTTAGACAAGCCGACTATATATCAAGAATGAATAAAAGAAAACTCTACTTATATATATTCTCGCAATCTAGTTCACTATCACTACCCTCACCTTCACCAGAGTCCCTCCCATCTTCGTTGTTATCCGACTTCTCTATAGGAGCACACTCGCCTCATACAATAAAAGGGATAGACCCTCTTTTTGCTACAAGTTATTAGGAAAATATATCAATACATCAAACACAAAAAACAAAGTAAACAACTTACCACTACACGCATTGCTTCCAGCTACCTCAATTGCACTAGTAACAATTTACTCTTACTGTTACATTTTGTTGATAGTATCGAAGGCATAATGATGATGAAAGGTAGAAGAGAATAAATGATTGAAAAGGGTTTCAAGAGAAGAATAGATTCGGAAGATTTATATGCCTCAAAAGATTCGAGTTGTTGCTAGGTTACAGAACGGTTTCCTCCGCTTTCCATACGCCTTCCCATTACGAAAAAGAAAAACTCGCATACATACTTGTTTACCACACCATTCAATTAGACAACAATCAATACCATATTACAATCGCCGATTTGAGTACTAAATAGGTAATTGTGAAGCTTGAGGGCAAGCTTTTCTGAAGAAGAGGGTAGTATCACGAATTGCACTCAATCGCAATGCGATTGCTCACATACACATACACACACATGCACAATTATATATACATAACTAGTATATAGAAGCACTCTATAAGCGCTTTGCTCTCGATTCTGTAGTTGTAGATTCTAAGGATAAATTGTACCCTGCTCTCGCAGTTCTTCTAAGGCAAAGTGTCACAGTCTCTTTTGCTTTCGCTTAGGGCTTATAATATAGTAGCTAATAAATTGAAGCTATTCACTATATGATCGACGTTCATATAATTATATAATCAGAAAATCAATTTGTCGAAATCAGTTTTATAATAATCGACTTATTAATTTATAAAATATAAAGATCTATATAAAGGAATAGGTTTTATTATAATATAGAGCTTTATACTTAAAAATAATTATTAGTTTTATTACTATAATTATAAAAATTATAATCAGTTATAATCTTATTGAATTCCTATTTTAAATCTAATTTAAACCACTTCAAAAGATCTCTAGCCACTTCTATGTAACCCTAGAGGCAGCTCCCGTAATACTTAGGGTTCGTTCGGATCGATTTTTTATTTTATTAATGAAATCTCTAATAATAATAAAATGACAAGAGATTTGGAATATTAAAGCTAATATATATTTGAATGAAGCTAATATATTTGGGGTAATATTGAGACGTGTGAGGTTGAGTTGAAAATGAAGAAATTGTATTAAAAATGAAGAAGATAACGCTTTTTCTTAAATATGTTTATCTAACTACACCTCAAAAGCTGCTATTGACTACTGTGTGAGAAAAGTTGAGAAAATTTGTTGCATTTATCACTTTAAGATTATTTGACTCAATATTTTATTAGCTCAAATATTGCGTTCGTTTCGAAATATTTCGAAATATTTCAGCCACATATTAGATCTAATATAGTCTAATATATATTGAGCTCAATATTGCGTTCGGTAAATACTATATTGGGCTAATATATTAGTCTAATGTCCAAAAACAAATCGATCCGAACGAGCCCTTACATGAGAAGCTGCTCGCAATACGTTTTAAGATAAAGGAGATTTTGCAGAGTCGCGCGCAGCCTGTTTTATTACATTCGCTCTCAATTTGTTTTAATGAATACTGATAATGTTTGATAGATCAGATGATAACCTTATAAGTGATAAATTCTGGTCGGCTGTTCAGACTTGTTCATTTGGTATATGAGGGCTGCTAGTACTTGATCAGCGGGGTTCCGTAGTTGGTGTAGTATATAGTTTCGAGACTAATTGTGATTTTGTTTTTTGAGATGGAATCTCAACAGGTTTAGCATCTTTATTTCGAAAAGTTTCTGTTTCATTTCTATTACTTATGTTTGTAGTTATAAATAATCGGTTTGTAAGAGTTTCATTATTCTTTGTAATAATATATTTAGAACTTTATAGTTATAATTCTAATAAAGGTAGTATTAATTGAATTTCTATCTTATCAAGGATGAGCTTTTTTATATACAGATTATCTATAAATCTTAAAACATACATTTGTTAGCTTTACACTATCAATTAATAAAAAAAAGCCTTCACGATTATAAATTAACCTTTCAAATACTAATTAAATTTAAGGGCTTCGGAAAGTTGTTGAAATTCATTAGTATCTAAGGGGATTTTATTACTATGTTGTTTTTCCATATATACCCACAAGCCATCTATTCAATGACAAATCTTTTTTTTTTGAGCAATATATATATATATATATACCTACGATTGTATCGTCTTACTGTTTCGTCTTTGATATTGAATCCACGGATCTCCAAGATCAAGATTCGGTCGTCCGGTTGAAATGCCAGACAGCTTCGTATCAATCCTTCCAGGGATACGGCTTCGTCAGCGGAGATCTTCGAGCTTTTGGAGTTGAGGAATGTTTGATTATTATGGGAGCTGCACTGCCAATTGACGTTGGCGACGGGAGGAGTCACACCTTCGATCGGGGGTGGATGGAGAGTTGGGAGGATCGTTACGCCTGCAGGGTGAGTGTTGGTGCGTGCCATCGGAGGCTGCACTCTAACGAGGTGGATTGAGCCCTGCCCGGAGGAGATGAATTCCTCCGAGCTTTGAGCGCTCCTTGCATGCTCATGAATGTTGGCATCCGATCGGTTCTAATTAGGCAGCTGTACCAAACTCAGCACCTCCTCGGCTTCGCTGGTAGTGAGATCCATCGCCATTGATACGGGTTGATCCGTTTGTCATGGAAGAACTGTTGTCCGTGAAGGGATGCTCGGGATGATGTGTGTATGCGCGTACCTATACTCGCCTGATTGCTTTGGCTTGAGGAAGGGGAAACGGGGGTGGTGCCATCGTGTTGTGCGCCCCCGTTCATAATTCGCTGCAGAAGAAGATTCGTTGGCTCTCCCATACTTCTAGGGTGCGCGTCGCGTGGGCTGAACTTTGGTTGTCACTCGTCCGGGAGGTGGCCTCCCAAAACCTCTACCCAGGTTAGCATCATCTTACTTCTCGTTGTATGGCTGTTGAAGGCGAACAATGGACGCTCGGTGCGGATCTCGAAGAGCAGGCATTCCAGGGCTCATACGTCAGATGCCCCTTCGGGATGGGTGAAAGAGCAGTTCGGGAGCGCGGTAACTCTTGGGCGTGCCCGTTGCGAGGGACGAGACTCCGTTGCGAAGGGCGATACCAAAGTCTATGATTGTGGGGCGAGGCGAGAGCCACACGGGAGATACGTTTAGCATGTACGCGGGAAGGGTTGACGTGACCGTAATGAGGTCGGTGTGAAGGAGGTATTGCTTGTGAGGGGTACTCAGTCTTTGGTAAACGTCTTGTTCCGTCCATTGATCTATGTTGGCAAGCTCAAGCAGGAGTTTGGCGGGGGTGAGGTATATACGAGGAGAATGGGTTAGCTGTGGAGTGATGGAAACGATGGGGATGTAACGGTGGGGCTGGACGGGTTGCGTTACCTCCGTGAATGATGTTGGTATGGTGGATATAGGTCAAACCATGTGCTACTTGCAAAGAAATGCTCCTCGCTATTGATACTTCCAGTTGTCTCCCTCCATTGTGTTGGTGGATGGAGGTGGCGAAGTGTCTGAGGCTAGGGCCGCGAACGTGCGAGGTTAGGCATAGGTGGTTCCCGTTCGGCCCTGTATGAAAGAAGTAATTCAGGAGCAAATTGATGTCGGCTTTCTCCTAGTGATTCGGGCTGAGGCTAGGGCCGCGAACGTGCGAGGTTAGGCATAGGTGGTTCCCGTTCGGCCCTGTATGAAAGAAGTAATTCAGGAGCAAATTGATGTCGGCTTTCTCCTAGTGATTCGGGCTCAAGCGAAGAGGTGAGTTTGTTAGCTTGCAGATGTGGGCGATGCTGACTTAATGTCTCACCAGGCGCGTCATGTTCACCTCAGGTGAATGATCTGATACCCTTGCCGCGAGAATTTTTAATGCTACATATCTGCGTCTCTTGTTGTCTCGGGCCAGCCAGATGGTTGCGTATCCTCTATGTCCCAGTTTGTGTATGACGTGGTAACGATTGTTGTCAAAGAAATCGCCAAGGTGTACAGGGTGAAAGCCGCCTTGATCATAATCGAAATCCTCCACCGTGTCCAAGGCGGGGGTGTTCATTATAATTATTGTTTCTTTGTATCGTAATGTAGTTTAACACCGAGTACACTATATCATCAAATACACTACTTCAAAATATACTCAAATTGCTCTTTTTTCAATATTTATATTTTAATAAAAATATATATGTATTGAATAATAAGAAAAGATAAGATATTCAGAAATCTAATTTTTATATTTTTTAGATAGTTCGAGATTATTATGATTTTCGTTACAAAAAAACTATTTTAATAATAATTCTGATTTCAATCTGAATTTTCAAGAAATAATTCGATTTTTATATTGTTTATATAAATAAATATAAAAATTTCTTTGAAAAATCAAATTATATTAATAAATAAAGGAAGTGTATATTTATATACAGATGTATTTTGTGTATAAAATTTGTAATATATTTAGTGATATGATATACTCGGTGTTAAACTACGTTATATACGTATTAAGGAGTAGACGGTTTATTTCTATAGTCGATCGTGGTTTATAATTGATAGTGTAAATATTTTCTTCGGGATGAATAGAATAAGTCTAAACGCTTCAAAATAGTAGTATTTAAATTTGCGAGGTCTTATAATAAATGATCTGTCGTATAACGAGTCGAATGAATACTAATTAAGAACAAATTCTACTTTATTATTTTATTTATTTTTATATATCTATTTATTCCAAGGTTGAATAGAAGAGGCCTCTATTTTGACTATATTATAATGTATATAGATATATTAATCCCCGCTTGATGTTATTAAAGAGAATCAATATATCTATCTATAATTCGTTTAATATAGCCTATTTAAGTAACCGTATTACTAATTATAATATATAATTAATACTAATAACTTCTATTCCTTTTAATACTCCCTTATAAAAGTTACTATCTTCGATCTACTTAATCCTCTACATCTTTATTATCTTAATTCTAATATCTTTTTGAACCTTTTAAATATTATTCTTACTAAAGATTTAATTATTCTATCTACTACTATTACGGAAATCATTGTCTTATACAATACCATGTGATTAAGTATAGTACTTCTTTAAAGTACCTATTTATATAATTATAAAACAATCTTTTATTATTAATATTAATAAATTCTATTAATCTAATTAAATAACTTCATTACTCAATTCAGATATATAAAATAAATATAATCCTTATAATTATATTTCAAGTCAATTTAGTTTATTATTATTATATGTACCTACTTTCTAATCAAGATAACTAAATAACATAGTTATTCTCTATAATAACTACTATATCTAATATATTAATATAGTTAGTTACTATCTTTTCTTTTTCAAAAAATCCCTAATAAAGTAATAGTATATATCAATATACTTTAATTACTTATATAAATATAGATTCTTAATTAGAGCTATTACTTTTTGATTATTATCTAGTAATTAAATAATATCTTTATATACAAATATGTATTCCGCCTTTTCAAAATCTTTAAATAATTAAGCTAACTATTTTCCTTACTTAGTGAATATTACTATTATATAAAATTTAATTTCTAATAATTGATTAGAAATTTATATTATTTATATAGATAATTCTAATATTTAAAGAAAAAATTAAATTATATTGATAAATAAAGAAAGTGTATAGTTATACATAGACGAATTTTATATATAAACTGAGTGATTTATTCGGTGATGAATCACGTTATCAACTTCCTGATATATACTGAGGCCCCAGGCCTTGACGCCCCCGGGGTTCAGCCGGATGAGTAATCGTATCCTGGGGTGATATTAATTATCGAAACAATCCCTGCTTCCTTAGCTATATAATGTTTATAATCGTCGTAACTGTGACTATGATTGAAAGAAATTCAAAAAACATTTCCATTTACATCTTATATAATACCTTCATTTACATCACTCAATACCACATTTTTGCTGTTGTTTCAAATACTCGACGACAACCATTTGATTGAGTCAGTTCTTTTGTATCTGTTTGCTGATTCTCTCAATATAGTCGACCCGACCAAAAGTGAAATTTCCGATCCCAATGGCTAAGTGAAAGATATATTTTGTAACAACTCCCCTGTCATACCATACTAACCGATAAAGCGCATATCGGGCTATACATTGTATTGCCCTCTAGGGTAGTGTTTATATCAAAATACAATAATTAATAATATAGTCTATTAAATTAATATCTTCGGCAGTTTTAGCTCTAAAGTAAACAATCAATAAATGCTTTTTATTATATATAAACACCTATGAATATTTATATAAATATATATATCTTATTTTATTAGTAGTATTACTTTTTTTCTTAAAAGAAGTGAAACTTAATCTTTGATTTCTCTTTTTAATTGTTTTATTATCTTCTTCTCTACTATACTATTATTTTTCTACTAAGTAAAAGAAACTAGAAGAGCAAAACTTTAATACAAATCCTAATTAGTATTACCTTTCGATTGAGTATTTATATACTCGAGATAATTCAAATAATAAACTGATTTATTAAGATAATCAATATTATTAGTATCAGTATTGTATATAATATTACTGTTTAGTGTTTATTGGTTAGAGGTTAGAAAAGAATGGATTCTATTTAAAGTTGATATATAAATATTTAGATTAGTGATTGAAAGATGATTATCAGTTCATGATTTTCTATTCAAAGAAGAGCTAGATCCAAGGCGAGTATAGAAAGCTAGAGGAGGGCCTTCAGAAGGAGATCACTAATTCTCATTGTGTTAGACATTACGGGAAATCATGAGGGCAGGGTAAGCTTGAAAGCAGCTCTTATACATGCCTATACACGTATAGTTCAGTAACTAAATCGAACAAAGATTATAATTCCCTTGATTATAAATTCAGTGGCATACATTACGCTTGGTCTTTTCACGCTAGAAAGTCATCAACTGTACAGCTTCTCTTATATAAGAGTTGCTTCTTTCTTATATAGTTAGCTCTCTAGACTCGTATACAAAGCAATAATTAGGACTCAAAAAGCGTGAGTACTACGTTGTACGTTTTCAGGTTGCACAAACACTAAGTTTACAAAAATAATCATTTTCCAGTTTCTGACTTCTGAACTGTTTTTCTTGAAAGGTGATTGGAAGTTTCTGAATGACCGAATGCTAACTAATCTCTATTTAGCCTAGCGTTAATTTTGACTTTCTTACATGAGCTCCGATATGAATACTATTATTCAACTAGCTTAGCATTATCACTGAGCGAACGATTTTAAAACATTAATTTCCTGGTTCTAAACCCCTATTCTAACATTGGCCACTGCCTATTCCATTTGACTCGTGTTATCCGACTAGGTAAGTTTGCTCACTAAGTGTTGGTACTCCCACCAGCTACATCTGAGGCAAACGCTTCAAGAGATGCCACGATGTTTCAAAGGATACACTATAGACGCTACAAACGCTACAGGATATCGCAATATAACACAGGACTTAAAACACAATACCATTTGCTCTAGCTCCACTTTATAGTTTTAAGTATCAACTCTAATGGAATCATCGCCTTCGTCAATTTAGCACCCCGTCTCCATTAATTTTCACACTAGAATATCGTAGTTGGAGAACTGGAATAATAAGTATTGCCAATCCATCAGTGGGTATAGTAAAATTATTCGATACCTCACAACTTACAAGTTTCGGTCAACAATGAAAATATCTCAATCTTATTCTCAACTGTTTCTATATAATGAAAGATTTTCTAAATAATTTATGAAACATTGATTGAATACTCACCAAATGAGATTTGAGCGAGAATATTATCTCAAAAATTGGATTAATTGCTAGTTTTTTTCTGTTTGCGAGGTGCTAATTGTGTTAGTATATACACTAATGATCTGAAATCTCTTTTGATTTAATATTAAAGATAGATCTGTATGTACTGTATGTTTACTACTCAACTTTGTAGATCTACTATACGTATGTCTTACATTTTGTGATTTGCATAGGTGCGGAGCCTAGTAGGCATATGATTTAAGGCTATTAACTACCATGCCGACAGCATCAACCTTCGCTTGTGCCATATGCAATGCCAACGCACTATACCGATTTCTAATCTAAGATCGCAACCATCTTCATTTTGTTCAGAGTTTCCATTCTATACTATTCAAGGAAGAACACTAGGAAGTTGAATAGAAAACATCTTGAGTTAGGATGGCAACTTGATTTCAAAAGCAGTGGGGCTATATTGTTTAGAACCGATTGTTTAACATCGAAGACTGTCTTGGGCTCCATGCTTTAGATTGATGTAGGAAGGAAAGTTCGCTATATCTCTTTATAATGTATCCCTTGTCAAGTGTCGAGTCAGAGCCAGATCTTTTGCAGGCTGTCAAGGATCAGGTGTCTGTTTGTGGAAGGTATCAAGTGTCAAGCGGAATCCTGTATAACGACGAGGTTGACTGTAAGAGTGTCAAGTCTTGAGCCAAAGCCAAAGCCCTTGTGAGTTGTTAACGTAAGTTGTCAAAAGTCAGGTGTCTGCCTGGTCACAAGGCAGGGAATTAAATAGTCAGGTGACTTTCAAATAGCGGTGGCGTTGGCTGCCATTCCTCTGTTCTAGTGAAGCTACGTCGCAACACCCTCGTTGGATTACCACAATGTCTACCACACAGCTCCAACAAATGCGAGAGTATCTTATCGGCCCCCTAATAACTCGATTAAAAGTTCTTTGCCAGCGCCACGGACAGGCTGAGATTTCGACTTTCCTGACCCAAACCCGTACTTAGGCTACATGTAGGACAGATCCCTACTCATTGCTCAACACCAAACGCATCGTTGGATCCTTGTAAGATTAAAGAGATAAGAGTGCGTACTATGCTAGTCTTGTTTCAGCTAAGGCCTGTATTTCAGCTAAGGCCTATATTTCAGCTAAGGCCTATATTACAGCCCGTAGGTGACCCCAGTAGGCTTATTGTTCCCATTCTCCCGTGCTGAAGAATCAGTTTTTACTACTGAATCATAGGAATGGAGTCCAAACAGGATATTCGAGTCTGTCTGAACTTGGATTACTCGAGTTGTGCCGAGCGACGGAGACTTCAAAATCGACTCTCGCAGAGAAAATTCCGCAGTAAGCATCGAAATAGCTTCCTCAACCATCTTTAGTGGATCAATTGCAATCACTAAACCATATATTGCACAGAAAATAAAGATAAGGAGCGGCGAAATCAATCCAAAAATCTTCTTGGGTCAAACACGAACAATATAGCGGCGAACCAACATACTGGACTCGAAATATATTCCTCTCCGAGTCCAAACATGAAAGACACAGTCGCTTCTTATCCCCCTGTTGGAAGTGAATACGATAGCGATCTGTTCAACATCCAAACATTACTTTGGCAACCACAGACACTGCAAGCATTTGATGTTCATTCCTCCTCGGCCTTGAATGGAAGCTGGGCTGAGTCTGGTACAGACCCTAACCGACTAACCTTTGATACGCCGTTAATGGATCAGATAACCAACGCCAGTATGACATCGCCTGCCATTTCTCTTGATGGTCCATCACCAGCTAAGAGTTTCGTAACTTTGGAGAACGATCCTCATAACTGGAATCCTCTCGTCAACTCGTTAGAATCCAACCGCTGTACCTTTCCCAAAGCCAACAACTATTCTTCGAGTATAACGCCAAAGTGTATATCTAAGCACAGGTCGTCTGAGAAGACCTTGGGTGCATCGCCCTCGCTTGAGCCATTATTACATATCAGCGCTAGGAAAGGCGATTGTGATGTTCTACGGACCTTGCTAAAGTACAGGTCGGATATCAACATGCGAGATAGCAATGGACGAACAGCTTTACATGTCGCGTCGGAACATGGGCACCAAAAAGCCGTTTCATTACTACTGCGTCATGGGGCTGATGTAGAGGCTTTGGATCTGGAAGGGAAGTCGCCGCTATATCTCGCGGTGGTCGCATCTAAAAATGAAGTAGCCAATGTTCTGCTTAGTTATAAGTATTGAAAGTAGAAGGGGCGGTTTAATAAGTATTGAAAGTAGAAGGGGCGGGTTATTATTTTTTCGTTATAGGTTTGAGTGCATATACGTGGACAATTGTAACTAGGATAAATTGATTGATTACAAGGAGAGAAGAGATTCTTAAGGAGCTCTGTCTTTTAAGTCGGCTGAGAAACTAGCCTATGCTGGTTTATCCACAATTGTGAATAGCTTCATGAATGCATACGAATCACCTGATCTGGCACCTTGGCAAGGATTTAATTTATATTCACGAAAAGAATATCCTTCATTGAGATATGAGCGTCAGTAGCCTCCTGCTCGATACAGATCTATCTATCAAACTTTGCTATTCCCAGGGTTAGGCGAGCCCGGGCGGAATTACCACCCTGTGTGGAGGAGCAGCCGAGATGAGTGGTTTTGTGGAGTAGGAGGCTGGTGCACCCGTGTTTCGATAGGTAGCATTAGGTCACGTGAAAAATCTCATGTGATGAACCTTAGGATCCAAGGAGCCAGAAGCCTGGGGCCTGTAGAGCAAGAAGGTCTACATAATGAATAGCGTTTCCTTAGTTTGTAGAGCTTTGTACTCAAGACAATTATCATACTTAGCTATATAGTTATAAGAATTATAATCAGTTTTACTATTATCTAATTCCTATTTGATATTTAATCTAAATTACTTTAAAAGTGTCGGGACATGGATCATGTGACCGCACTAGCGCTTGCGCTAGTGCCTCGGCACTATAGTATATACGTTTCGTAGTCCTAGCTTTTGGAACCTCAAGCAATATTACAACAGTATAAACCATAGTACTATATTGACTTTACCATCCTCATGATAATACTAACAAAAAGATTTCTGAATATTTCCATATAATTCTAGAAACAGCTTCTATAATAGAAATGAGACTGATATTTTAATTAAAGGTGTTTTCTTTTTGACTATATTAGTACTTTCTCTCGATAATAGAATTTTCTTAGAAGAAATCATTAAGAATTTCGAGAATTTAAAAAGCAAATGTCACGGAAATTACTGTTTTATATAACACTATATAATTGAGTATAGTACTTCTTTAAAGTATTTATTTATATGATTATAAAACAATCTTTTATTATTAATATTAATAAGCTTTATTAATCTAATCAAACAATTCCATTACTAGATTTAGATATATAAAATAAATATAATCTTTATAATTATATCTCAAATTAATCTAATTTATTATTACTATATATATCTACTTTTTAATTAAGATAAACAAATAATATAACTATCTTTCATAATATTAATAGTTAGTAATTAATTATCTAGAATATAGAGTAATAAGAATTGATTCAAAATTTCTTTTAATAGAATTCTTATAGTAAAATAGTTATATTACTTAGTTACTTTAATTAGGAAATAGATATATATAGTAATAATAAACTAGATTGACTTGAGATATAATTATAAAGATTATATTTATTTTATATATCTAAATCAAGTAATGGAATTGTTTAATTAGATTAATAAAGCTTATTAATATTAATAATAAAAGAGTGTTTTATAATCATATAAGTAGATACTTTGGAGAAATATTATACTCAATTACATAGTGTTATATAAGATAGTGATTTCCGTGATAATTAATAATACTAATATATCGAACTTATATTTATAGTTTTATATTCTTAATAATTATAGCCTTTTTAAAATGAATTCAATTAAATCCACTATCACAGAAACATTTGAAAACCCACTTCTATCAACTTCTAAATCAAATATTATATCTGTGACACTTTGCCTTAGAAGAACTGCGAGAGCAGGGTACAATTTATCCTTAGAATTTACAACTATAGAATCGAGAGCAAAGCGCTCTTAGAGCGCTCCTATATACTAGCTATGTACACGTGATCGTGCACGTGCGCGTACGCGCACGTGAGCGATCGCATTGCGATTGAGTGCGATCCGTGACAATATCTATATTAAAATTAGAAAACGAATTCTTACAACAATAATATAAATCTCTACTAGAAGAATTGAAACTCAGACAATTAAATATTACAATTTATAACCCAATAAAAAATAGATTTCAGAATACTAAAATATATCTTTAATTCGATTCAATGCTTTACAAATCGATATATTCAGAGTTTTCTAATACATTTTATATTTTTTGATTTGAGAATATAATTTATTATATCTTCTGTATTTCTTAATTTAAATGAAAATCCTCCTATATTCATATTGATTATATACTCAGAAATAATAATCTCCTCTAATTCCAAAAGATTATTAGTATATGAACATTAATCATATAGTAAATAGTTTTAATTCATTAGCTACTATATTACAAGCCCTAAGCGAAAACGAAAAAGATTAGCTCTTTTAGTAAATCTATATAAGATCTATTACTTTCTAGATATAACTAGTTCTTTAGATAGAATACAATATAGACATTTAGGATCTACATTTACAGGTACTACATCTTCCGTATCCTTCTCAAACCAACAATTAGATTTAGATTGATATTCAGAATAAGAAATAGAATCATTAATTCTATACTATAATATTATATTCAGAATATTATATATCTTTTTAATCTTTCAAATACTTACTTTTTTGTCTTTTTGAATAACTTTAACAGTAAGAAATATACAGACTTCTTAATTATTGAAATTTAGTATAAATTGTTAATAAAATGCGTATTGAAAGAAAAAAGAATAAATTAAGGTAAAAGTAACCTACTTATTGATATAACCTATTCACTAATAAAACACATTATAACTTTTGTAATTTATATTATAATATAACTCACTTCTAGTCAAGATACATTATTAGATTCGTATTTTAAATAATAGTATTAATAGTATAACAACTTCTAGGCCGATTCAATTCGAGATGATTTTTGAGAGTATATAATAAGTCAGCTAGCGAAGGGGTATAAATTTCGTTAGTAAGTCAGCGAAGTAATATTCTGACTTATAAGTGGCTTATAAGTAAAAAAAATTGTTCTTTTAGACTTTAATTAATTCTACATGACCTCATACCTTGAAATTCCGATAGTATGTTATAAAAGAGTATAGATATTAAGTATTTAAGCTCGAGCATATAAATCGTTAAAGGGCTGAAATTTTTTTAAGAAGAGAGGTTAAGATAAGTAGATTATAGATATCCTTCAAAGCTTCTCGGTATTAAGCTGACGAAATCTAATAGCTAAGCCTACGGTCCGTCAAGCATACAAACATTAGGAATTTTCTAGCTCAGGATGCTACAATCTTTGCAACAATCTTTTTACAAAGGGAAATAAGCGATACCGCATTCACAATCTCCAAAGTCGTCATCAATGCACCCAGCTCTATCCGAATCCAATTTCGAACCTCGATTGCCCCCAACGAATCGATGCCATACACAGCAATAGGTCTCCCAACCTCCATCGGTTCCGAGAGGCGCAGAACCCGCACGAAAACTTTGTTTACAATGTCAATAGTTGCTGCCAGTTGAGCTGCAGGATCTACCGTCTTTGATCGGAGGAGCAGCAATACGGCCTGAACTTCCTGGAATGCTGAGTCCTTGCCGTCGCTTCCGCCGGCGCCGCCATTTGTTTCTAGTGGTGTGAATAATCCCGCAAAACGGACGTCGAGTGCGAGAGCCGAACTTTCTGGTTGTGGCACTGGAATTCCCGTGATTATCTGTGTAGATGGAGTGCTGAACGGGGCGTCTCCTTGCTGTTGTAAGATCGAGAAGTAGAGGATCTTTTGGAGAAGTCGTTCATTGATTCCACTCCAAATACTTGTGTCCAGCTTGTCTTGCATGCCATCTCGCTCCGCGATGTATCCCACATCTTCGATAACACCGAGATCAACGGAGCAGGCAGGCTGACCTCTCCCATGTCTGTAGCTTGCGAAAGCATCCAAGAATGCATTTCCGGCTGCATAATTGGCTTGGCCCTTCTGCCCTACCAAACCCGAGATACTCGAGAGCATTGTGAAGAAAGTAAGTGGGAGGGTGAGCTTTTCTGCGACGTTGTGGAGGTTCCAGGTGCCCTTGATCTTGCAATCTATGGCTTCATGATAATCCGCAATGCTCATCGAGGAGAATGTTCGATCCTATAGCCTAGTGTCAATATAAACAGGTCATAGGAATTGAAAAGCAGATAAGACGTACTCGTAACACCATTGCACCCTGCACAATACCTCCAATTGGCTTGGTGGTTTCCCTGAAGGCCTTCTCGACGTCGCCTTCCACTGTAACATCGGCTGTGAGAAGATCAATCTTGCATCCCATAGCTTCGATTTCTGAAATGACACCTTGAGATTTCTCGTCGGCATAGCCACTACGTGACATCACAGCGAGATGTTTGACGCCAATCTTCGCAAAGTATATGGCAAGTGAAGCACAGAGGCCTTTCAATCCTCCAACGATCAAATAACAGCTGTCATCAGAAAATTTCAAAGGCTTCGGTGCTTTCCGAACCTGTAGACATTAGTATCACGCAGAAGCTGAGGTTGAGGTTGACGAACCGGCACGATGATCTTCTTACTAGGCCCATCAGATATCACTATTTTGCCAATATGCTTCCCCGCTCGGAGGAATCGAATTGCAGACGGAACATCGGAAAAGGAAAACGTGTGGATGGGAGCAATGGGTTTGACATGCCCTCTCTCTATGAGCTCAAATAATGCGGATAGAAGCCTGATCACCACATTTTTAGTGTCAAGAATTTGTTGCACAGTTGTGTATCCACTTACCGGTTCACCAGATGATCTGGTGCTCTTTCATGAGACATGTCAATTGCTCGGAATGACATATTCCGATCAAATGGCTCCATGGCGAGCATGTTTCGATCGAGAATATCCTTTTTGCCAACTGTTGATGATTAGCAATTCTCTTAGATAGACGGGGCTAGGCTGGTCAGGAGGAAGATTAAATGTCGGAGAGCACGCACTTTCTATCATGGTTCCACCATCAGCAAGCAGACGCCAGGATTCGTCGAGAAGATCACCAGTCAGAGAATTAAGAACCACGTCGACTCCCCTACCACCTGTTGCTGCTACAACATCGCTTGCGAAGTCTGTGTTTCTGGAGTTGAATATTTGACTATCTGGAATACCGAATGTCGATTTAAGATATGTCCTCTTTTCTTCCGTTCCTACAGTAACATAGATCTTTCCTCAACGGTTAGTGTACTTCTATGAAGCTTGGGGATTGTCAAAGCCTGATACATACTTCAGCTCCAATATACTGGCAAAGCTGGATTGCAGCGATACCGACTCCGCCAGCAGCAGAATGAATAAGCACTCGTTGTCCCTTCTCCAGTTTTGCGAGGTCAAACAGTCCGTACATCGAAGTCAGATACACAGCAGAAAGTGTAGAGGCATCTTCGAATGTCATATTGTCCGGGATCCGATGAACACGGCCTGGTGTTGTCTGAATCCTGTTGGCAAAGCACCCCTTATCGAACACAACGACTCGCTGCCCGACTTCAAAATCACGAACTTCGGGTGAAATTCTTGTGATGATACCCGCACCTTCACCTCCGATAGCATGCTCGTCTCCAGGAACAATTCCCATGGTTAGGACAACGTCCTTGTAGTTCATGCCCGCCGCGTACAATTCGATCTCGATGCCTCCTGGTTGTAGCGGAAGGGGATATGGAGATATCTCACCAAAGAGAATCGAATCCGCATTGCCAACGATCTCGGCTCTAAGTCTGATGGGTATTTTACTATCGTGGAGGTCTATGAGTTCAGTCTTCAGACTGCTTATCCCATCTTCTTGAGACCGAGAAAGTTCGTTCTCCGGAAAAACACGGCTGACATGCAAAATCCCGTTCCGCTCCACAAACTCGCTATCGGTCTGTGATGTTTTCTTGAGTCTCATGAGATCCAGGCAAGTATGGATGGCCTCAGCAGTTGTTGGTCCCTCAGGCTGTTCAACATCCAATGTCATGAAGCTGAGTAAAGGTGCTTCTGCTCTCAAGACACGAGCAAAGCCGTTGATTGCTGCTCTAGTTGGCTCCATTACATTAGCCTGGGCTCCGGTGGTCACCCAGAGAATCTTGCATTCTTTCTCAACCAGACTTTGGATCTTATACCATTGCCCTTCATCCAAGCAGTCCATTACTGGCGATAAGAGCTCGTCGAGAACAAGCACCGTCTGATTGGGTTGGATGTGGTCCGTGGATTGTGAAGTCAAAATAGTCCATCCAGTATTTTCAAGATCCTTCAGGAGCTCTAGACTTCCAAAGTCTTTGCCGGAAAGACTGAAGCATTGAATTGAATCGCCAGCAATAATGCCAGAATCTGGCGATTGGCGGATGCACTGGACACTATAGGTATTTTCTCCGAGGGATTGCAGATTTCCTAGAGCCCCAAAAGTATTCTTGATAATGAAATCACTTTCTGAATTATCAGGAGCGACGATCAAAAGCAATCCATCTTCCTTCATTGACATGCGCATACTTTCAAGGATGATCTCAGCATACTGTTCATTAAGACTACCTGGTATTTTAATGAGGATTAGATCGAACTCTGTGCCACTCAGAACATATCCTGCTTTAGTAAGGTCCACCATACCGAAACCTATGTTGGAGCTACTTGATTGATGCTTCTCTTGAACACCCAGCAGCACTTTCGGATCAGTAGTCGCAAAGTGATACAACGAGCAAGCTGCTCGCTTAGGACATTTTTCATCAAGCCATAGACTACTCTCATTTGTAGAATCAAGGTTGAGTTCCGCCATCGTCAATCGGGGATTCTTGTGTGCAATCAGACCAAGTAGATCTTGTACAATACGCTCTTGCTTCGTCATTTTCGCCATGGTATGTGAGCTAGCTTTAATAAATCTCTCCTCTAGGATGTTCTTGACTCTCGGCTCTGGCTTTGACAGCAGTAAGGAGATATCAGCGTCCCACAACAAGTGGGTAAATGTATGAACAGGCTTTTCGTCTTCGCTGGTCTCGAGCTCGGCAAACTTGAGTCCTTCAAGCTGCAGAAGTAAGTCACCACTCGCTGGGTGGTAAACGGAGCATGAAGTGCCATAGTTTTTATGAGCATCTCTTCGTCCAAGACCAGAATAGGTCGCAGATGCGATTGAGATAGCCTCGTCTGGTAGCTGGCCACGTCCACTGATGATGAGACTACTGATGACAGATGGAACAAGTACAGTGCCCACAGTGGTTCTGTCGCCTTCCCAGAGCGCGGGGGAAACTGTTTGGAAGCATCCATCAATTGATGCTGGGTGCATAGGGTAGAAAGACTGCTCATAAGACGACTCGGGAACTATCATTGATACAGTTGAACGGCTTGCTCTTTTTCCTGTTGTGGATTCTACCATTAAGTGCTTCTGGAAAGCAGGCCCAAAGTTGTATCCAGCAGCAGCAAGCGCTTTATACCAAGAACGACCTGGAGTTGCATGTTTCAATGGTTCAATAGACTTTGCTGGAGCGCTCTTCTCTTTATAGTCGGTTTCTATGCGAATTAGACCTGTGCCGTGTTCTGTCCATATATCTTCTCGCAACGAATATACCTTGTACTCGAACCACGAGCGAGTTGAGCCAGGTACAGGTGTCAAAGAAAGCATGATTCTAGCGTCGGAATCTTCTTCTAAGACAATTGCACGAGAAAACCTCACATCGCGAAGGCGATATCTGAATCTAGATGGAACCTCTTGTTTCCACGTCGTCATGAAAGTTGTTTGATAAACAGCTTCCATACTCATAGCTATGTACGCAGCTCCTGGAAATACCACCTGGGCGCCCAACTTATGGTCCTTGAGCCACGTAGTGTCACTGAGCTTGAGTGTTTTCTTGAATATTGGTGAGTTCCATGGAGTTCCATTAACTTTCGAGCCGAGTAAGTCGTGCATCACGAAAGGCTTGAACCGCCAATCTCTGCTGGCTGTTGACTCATGCCAGTATTTTTCTGTATGGTTCCAACTGTAGTTTGGGAGGTCAACAACTAACTTCGGGGGTTGGGAACAGCTGAGTTGATTGACCGACGCAAGGTCGGGGGATCCACCAGCCAAGAATATGCGACCTGCGACTTCAAACAGGGGAATTATCGCATCAGTCCCTCTCTTCAACGCGTAGGTATACTGAGTTCCAGCAGCCTTTTCGCCGTTAAACTTCTGGATTTGAGCTATTGGGCCGGCCAATGAGTTGCTGGGTCCAATCTCGACCAAGAAGTCAGCAGACTCGGAATCTTGTAGGAGCGAATTCATTGCCGCATCGAATCTCACAGGAGATATCATGTTCATTTTCCAATAATCTGAATCTAGAGAGCCGGTATGTAAGGAGCCGGTGACTGAAGAGTAAAATTTGACAGGCGCAACTTTATTGTCCTTGAGCGACAAGCCTTCAGGATCTTCGCGTTCGATTCCTGATCCTGCCAGCATCTCTACGTATCTTTCTGCGAGGTCCGTCATGAAGCTAGAGTGGTACGCAAGGTTAACAAGCAAGCTTCTTGAGAAGACATGGTCCTGTTCTAGGAGCTCTTTGGCTTTGTTCAGTTCGGCGGTTTCACCGGATAGTGTCACACTATTCGGACTGTTGTAGCAGGCAATCTGCACGTTTTCTAAAGATTCTAGGTACTTTTGTATTTCCGTAGCACCTATACCCACTGCAAGCATCCCAACGGAATTCCCTGGGTTACTGTATTTAGCTGCTTGGCCACGATAATATGCAATCTTGATAGCATCTTCGGAGGAAATCAACCCGGCTGCTGCTGCTGCTGCTATCTCTCCGGATGAATGGCCGACAACACTGTAGAAAATTAGCAACAGGCATCTTGAGGATCTAGGAGAACCCTTGGCTACCTTTGGGGGATTATATTCCACTCACGAAGCACTTCGATCAGCGCCAGTTGCAAAGCTGTGACAAGAGGCTGCGAGAATTCTGGTAAGCGAAGAGCCTCCGAACTTCGAACTTGTGTCAATTCAGTCAAAAGTTTCCAGCTTGGAGGTGGTTCCAAAGCTTGCAGAACATCATCCAATTGCTCAATTACTCTTCGAGCACTTGGAAATGTGCTTAAAAGTTCTTGTCCCATCTGAGACCATTGAGCACCTTGTCCAGTGAAGATAAAAGCAATTCTGGGAGGGTTCGATTTTCTCTTGCTAAAAATAACTGATTCTTCGGGAATGGAACTTGTCTTCGTAACGACAAATCCTCGATAGTAAAGACGGCTTCTTTTCTCTGACAGTGTGTACGCTAGATCGTTGATGTGCAGCGAAGTTGAGGGGTTCATAATGTGTCCCGAAAGCGTTTTGATGTTTCTTTTTAGCGAATACTCGTCATTGGCGGAAAATACGAGCAGCTTGGGTAGAGTTTCTTCTTCATCGATAGTGAAAAAGTCATGCCCAACTGGTGGAATATGGGAGGAGTGGTGCCATGAGTGATCAGCCTGCTCGAGTACCACATGCGCGTTGGCGCCACCAAAGCCGAAAGAATTCAAACTCGCACGACGCTTCGTTGAATTAGGCCAATTGATAGAGGCTCTTGTTGCTCGCACGCGGAGACCTTCGAAGTCGATTTTAGGGTTTGGTTGAAGGAAGGTGGGGTTACCTGGTATGATGCCTCTCTCCACAGCAAGGATGGCTTTGATCAAGCCAGATATGCCCGCCGCAGCTTCAGAATGACCAATGTTGCTCTTGATGGAACCAATTATGAGCTCTTGCCCTTGAGCACGACTTGCTGCAAAGACTGACGCTGCCCCAATCAGTTCAATCCCATCTCCAACTAAAGTGGCAGTTCCATGCTTATATTGGTTAGCTGGATTTCCTCAGAAAGAAAAGATCTGTTAGATGTGACTTACGCATTCCAAATACCCTGTCTCGTGAAAATTTTTGATTCCAGCATTTGCATAAGCAGCCCGGATAGCATCTGCTTGAGCCTCCGAACTTGGGCTTGCAAGACCAGGTGTACGTCCTGCGCTGTTTGTCGATGTTCCTCGGATAATGGCTCGAATAGGATCACCGTCCCGAATAGCATCATCAAGTCTCTTTATGGTGACTACGTTTATAGCTTCGGCCTTTACGTACCCATCTGCTTTAGCATCAAAGGTATGACACTTTCCAGATGCTGATTGAGTCATTCTCATCATTCCTATCTCCTCATTGTGTTCGGGGTTCATCCATATATTGGCACCAGCCACAATCATACCATCAGCTTGATAGGTATCCAAATAGCGGCACGCTACGTCTAGTGAAACTAGACTTCCTGAGCAAGCGGTATCTACTGTCATGCTTTTTTCAAAAAAAAAATTAGTACGCAATGAGAATTTGCGAGCTTGGTATATGCTTACCTTGGGCCTTTGATGTTTAAGAAATGGCTGATTCTGTTGCTGAGGATGGATCTGGCAACGCCAATGGTTGCTGAATCAGGTCGATCCTCGGGATCTCGAGACTGCATACCTTCGTAATCTTGTTTGTCTGTCAGCTGGATCCTGACGACAAGATAATGAGCGGAAAATCTTGTGTTGATGAGACTTACCAGATGCGTTCGCCCCAACAATGCAACCTATTTTCTTTCCACTTATATGTTCCAGCGGCAATCCCGCGTTCTCTAAGCATTCATAGGTGACCTCAAGAAGTTGACGCTGCTGCGGGTCCATGGCGATGCAGTCAACTTTGCTGATATTGAAGAACTTCCCATCAAAGACTTCAGGGTCAATGTCTTCAATGAACATACCGCCTGGAGACTTCATAGTTCTAGGTCTTTTATGCTTATCATGATGTCCTGCAAGATTGAACCGGGTTGCTGGGGGTGCGTTATCTGCTACTCCTCCTCTTTCGAGAAATTCCCACAGTGCTTGGGGAGAATTGCAATGGCCCGGTAGGCGACATGCCATGCCGATGACAGCTATTGGAATTTGTGTTCGAAAAGAAACAATATTAGCACCATCTCGATCTCTATTGCCCCCGCTGCAGTCATTGGTAATTTTGAACTGCTCAGTAGTTGTGTAACCTAAGGAGTCCTGATTGCTTGGCGTAAATTGCCCCGGGCTGCTGCTTTTTTCCATAATCAGGTGCTGAAAATTTTTCTTGATATTGTCTAAGATATGATGAATTCACTTGTCCAAACCTATATCGCAGTTGGTGATTGAAAATTGATATAGGACAAGAAGTTGGTGTCTACATTTCTAGCTCGCGGTTTCTGTGCTTGGGAAATGGTTGATGATTGATTTCTTAGCATAACTGCATACAACGTATCTAGTCTGATGGTTTAAGCGAAGTCATCGTAGATCAGAGGAGATATAGGGAATTGTCCAATAAAAGCAGGTCGCGGTCAATGCAGTCAAGTAGTTTGCAGGTCAATCCCCTGAAAGCCCCACTGATCTACGGCAATTTCGCCTAAGCTGTTAGGCCCGATACGTGGCATTCCATCCTCACTGTCTTGTCATGATCTGACAGTGCATAGTAATGGCTTACCATGCTGTAAGATTACCTGCATGCAGATTGTAGATAACCTAGTTGGAGCGCACTTATTTTTATCGGACTATGAAACTTTCATTAGACATTACACAAAAGTGACGTAGAAGATGAAAACTTGAATGATTATAAATGATGATTTGAAATTGCAATTCGAGACTCACTGTAGCAACCGAACAAATATCTACACGAAGGGAAATCATGAGCAGACAGGAACGCGTTGAGTTCAAGACCGTTGACGGTCTTACACTTCGAGGATGCCTCTACGCAGCCGAAAAGAAAGGCCCTGCGATAATCATGACTCCAGGAGTAAGTTTTGCGCTCAATATCTCTCTACTTATTTGCCTTGGGAGAGGAAGAAAGGTTCTAACAGGCTATAGTTTAACTTTACCAAAGAGATGTTCATAGCCGAAATTGCCGAATACTTTCAACGGGCAGGATTCACTATTCTTACCTACGATCCTCGATCGATCGGAGAGAGTGATGGTGTTCCAAAGAACGAAATCGACCCAGTCCGCAATGCGGAAGACTACCACGATGCCTTGACATTTATGAAAAGCAACCCTCTAGTCGATGCATCTCGGATTGCTTTCTGGGGATTTTCATTCAGTGCGATGGTGGCATTGACAGCTGCCGCTCTCGACAAACGTGTCAAAGCAGTCATTGCTGTTGCCCCATTGTCAATATTCGACTTCCCCGCTGACAAGTGGCCGAGGGTTCTCGCGAAGGCCATGAAAGACCGCGAGTCGCAATTGAGTGGCAACGAAGCCTTCTATATTCCCATGATCACTGAACAGGGCGAGAATCCAGCTGGGTTCGGTGCTGGAGTTGACAAAGAAGGTTTCAACCTGCTAGCAGGAGCAAAGACTCTTGTTCCCAACTTCAAACTCCCGACCACCCTCAAAAGTTACTATAACATCGCCGCTTGGCAGCCATTAGGATTGATGAAATATGTGTCACCTACACCAGTATTGGTTATAACCCCGGAAGACGATGCCATATCTCCGGCGGCCGAGCAGAAAAGACTGATTTTCGACCGTTTCGAAGAGCCAAAGAAACACATAGTAGTCAGTGACAAGGGCCATATGGATTTATTAAGTGGAGCCAACTTTGAGAGTGTCTTGGACCAGCAAATTGAGTTTCTTTTGAGCGCCATGGGATAGGCATGAACTTTAGGCAGAAGAAGAGGCTGAAAGTCCTCAGATTGACCACCTCCTGGTTATACATCAAGAGGCCGTGCCAAGCTATCCTCCTAGAAACAAATAGGTGTACCAACAGTAATCAATCTAGACTTGCAAGAAATTAGATATATCGTTAGGTAACTCCTAGTTGAACCTATACCTCAAGTTTCACCCTATTCAATACAATTTCGTGTAGTCAAATTATATAAACAAAGGCAAGTCTTGGCTTGCTAGTGGCTTTGTCAGGGATTATGCTGAGTAAGCATCATTGTATTTAGGCCAGAGTAGAGTCACTGTCCCTTCCTGGTATTAATAATCATTTTGGACTACCCACTTCTGCACTCCACCATATTCGCGCTAATCTTAACAGGCTTGGCGCAGCTTCTTGACGCACTAGGAGACATGATTGGCAGTCTTTTGGACAGCTAAGTCAACTACCCCCGATTTCGCCCACCTCCAAAAAACATACCGCCTCAAGCAGCTTCACATTTTAAATCTTTAATAACTCAACAACGCTTAATCAATCTAACATAGTCTTATTCATATTATGTAGAAGATTATACGGAAGATGATATCTCAATGGCCCTTGGTGCGATCATAAATGGGTCTAGTGTACAAAAGGCTTCCTCGGATCTCAGTGTACCCCGTGGTACACTGAGATCACGAATCGTTGGGCATGTATCCCATCAAAAAGGTTCCCAAAACCAGCAAAAGATAGCTCCGGCTCAGGAGAGACAATTAGCAAATTAGATATTAGTATAGGAGGCCCTTGGTACTAACCCAACTCATCGTCAAATACGAGAGATTGGCGAGCGTCTCCTCCATCTAAGAGGGGGCCCTTCTCTCGGAAAATGATGGATAAACAAATTTTTACGAAGAAATCTTAATATTCATACAAAAAAGCAATACACAATCGGTTCTATATGAGTTTCAGGTGCTACAACTGATATTATTAAGAAGTGGTTCCAAAAGCTCGAGATTCCTGAAATCAAGCATATTAAGCCCCAGAATAGATGAAATATGGATGAGGGTCAGGATCTCAATTGGCTAGTACTAGGAAGTTCAAATCATCGATTCATTTAATAATAAAAAGCAGCCTGCATCAAGAATTTGGATATCTCTCATTGAATGCATTTCGGCCGATGGGAGAGCCTTGCATCCACTCGTCATTTATAAAAGAAAAGGCGTTTAACAGCAATGGTTTCCTAAAGATGTCACTTCATGTGATAAAATGCTTTTTACTGCTACGAAAAATGGGTGGACACAGATGCAACAGCTTTGGAATGGCTAGAAAAGGTGTTAATTCCTTCAACAACCCCCTCCTCCCCTGATGAGGCTAGACTACCCATTCTGGATGGGCACGGAAGCCATGAAACTACGGCATTTATGTCTTTATGCTTTGATAATAACATTCATCTCTTTCTCTTACCGATACATACGTCACACGTACTACAGCCACTAGATTTATCAGTCTTCTCGCCTCTAAAACATGTATATCGATGTTTTATCTGATTCTTCACCGATTAGAAAGCGGAGTTTCCTTTCCTGCTACCAGACGGCACGATCGGGGGGGTTGATAGCAAGAAATATTGAAGCTGGGTGGAAAGCTAGTGGTCTCTGGCCTAAGAATATGGCGAAACCACTTATGAGCCGACTTTTGCTTGAAAACAGCAACAAAGAGGTTTCACCACTCAAACATGTCTCAGATGCTGATCCTGAACTACAGTGAAGCATAGAATCATCGTTTATTGCATGGAAACCCCCTCAAAAAGCAGGTGATCTTCGAAAATATACACATATAATGGTCTAAGAGCAAGAAATCGACCTTCCAACAAGACGACTACTTTTCCGTAAATTTTTTAAAAGAATCTGTGCTCAGGACTATGCACTTATGGAGACAGAGCATCGAATAAAGCAATTGGAGCATAAAATAGAACAAGTCGTACCCAAGAAAAGACGGAAAGTAAAAACAAGCTCAAATTTGAAGTTTGCAGCCATCAGAGCTATGAGGGCAAGCCAAATTGAGGCTGGTGATCGTGAAATTTATGATGATTTTAAGGGTACTATAGAAAGTTGATCTATAGGGGATATTATTGAATTTAGGTAGTCGTTGAGTTGTTGATGTTTAAAGATCATCTCATAATATTTTTGAGGTGGGCAAAAAGTGGAGTAGCTGACTTATTTTGCTGTTAACCTGGAGTAGGTGGAATTCGGCTGGGCTGAATGATTACCTGCATAAATCATACACAACGCGCATTTCGTCAATGCTTTTATAACGCATATGTGGTAATGCTTACTGCAGCAATACCCTTGTCCAGGAGTGCTTCCCTGCTGTGCTTACGGAAGTACCTGTGAAATTCCGATTCGGAAGCAGGAGTCCATATTAGTAACATGTACATGCAAAAGCTCTTCTTCACGAAGGTAAACAATGCTGTGGCGGCGCAAGTAGCTCGGCCATCAGCTTAAAACTGCACATTAATTCCATGAATATAATTTCTCGAATATGTGGTCAAGTAACTAGCTAGCCTTGAGATACCCAAACTCTTTCATTAGTCATTGCTCACTTGCGAATTGTGTAGGATGAGCATCAGCTCAACGGCCTACTCAAAAATCCCAGCATAGCAGTATTTGAACGGTTTTAGCCTGTTCTTTTGTCCTCCTGCAGTTGGGCGGTTATCGCTATGCATTAGCCTCAGCATTCGTGATGCTGGGCCAACCTGCTTCCCTGGAAGATTTTGCAGACAATATGAAACAAGTGAGGTATCTTGAACGCCACTGTAGGAGACTGAAGATTTTTGAAGATAAAGAAAGGGGGACACCGCTAAAGTGGGGAGTTGGTTGGGAGTGAGTACCGAAGCGGTGGACAACGAAGATAAATCCCAAGCGTATGTTATGTTGCATTGTGATGTGATTGTTGGCACTACGCACGGCCGCGGGTGCTTCTGAGATCGACGGTAAGCTGACTACATGCATGCCGATGTACGATCAAATCATCTAGAGTATGATAGTTTGCACTGCAGATATGTAGAGTCATGATAATGAACTTTTTCTAACACCAGAATCACCGAGTGCAGCGTATTATATAGCGAAGATGGATCTACGATTCAAGAAAACTTCAGCACCTCTTTGACTTCTATTCAAAATTCACTAAGCGATGGAATTAAATTTCATCGTCAAGTACCTTCCCACAGGACTCTTCCCCTCCGTCGTTGGGATCTTGGGACTATTCTGGGTGATTTACGGGATATGGCTTGCGGTATATCGGCTGTACCTCTCACCTATAGCCAAGTTTCCGGGCCCTAAGCTTGCGGCTCTCACACAATGGTACGAGATATATTTCGACATGGTAAAAAGGGGCGGAGGTCAATTCCCCTTCGAGATTAAAAGAATGCACGAGAAATACGGGTAAGCATGGCGTTGTATAAGATTTCGGCAACAACACAGCTCACTAACATATGGTAGCCCCATTGTTCGAGTTAATCCATTCGAATTGCATGTCGATGACCCGGAGTACTATGACACGATTTATGCGACCAGCAAGCCCTACGATAAAATGGAACATTTCCAGTACCGCTTCAATGTACCATTGGCAACGTTCAGCACTTCAGACCAACATGAACACCGCATCCGCCGTGCTGCTATCAGTCCTTTCTTCTCCAAGAGTCGAGTCCGGGGACAGAACGACCAGATACAGGGACTAATGGACCGCATTTCGCATCGTTTGACTACAGAATACGCTGGAACAGGACGCATTCTTCAAGTTGCCGATATGTGGGGTTGCTATTCTGCTGATGCTATCATGGATATTGTTTTTGCTCGGCCAAAGCATTTCTCCGAGTATCCAAACTTCCAGTCTCCTTTTTCTGTGGCCATTCGGAACATGACAACCTATGCACACCTCACACTTCATTTTGGCTGGGTCCTATCTATAATGAACTGTATTCCAAGGTGGGTTACGAAGGCTCTGATACCGCCGTTCAGACCCATCATAGAGTTCCAAGAAGTAAGTGTTCAATATTTGGTTGGTTGTCTTTGAGATGCTATACTGATGTGTGATCAGGAAATGGACAATGAAATTGCTGAGGTCCTGGCAGGGCGTAATCAAGAGGCAAAAGCCGCTACACAGCCTACGGTATTTCACGATATCCTCTCGTCTTCCTTGCCTCAGCATGAGCTGCGACCTGCACGGTTGAACGATGAGGCATTGGGACTGGTTGGAGCCGGAACAGAAACCACGTCGTGGAGTTTGACAATTGGAACACTTCACATCCTCGACAACCCTTGCGTACTCAAGGAGCTCAAAGCAGAGCTGATCGCGGCTATGCCTGATATCAATGAGCCTCTGCCATGGAACGAACTGGAGAAGTTACCGTATCTCGACGCCGTGATTAAAGAGAGTAAGTAATCTATGCAATGTAATTCAGATATTGGCGGACGCTAACACAACGGACAAGCTCTTCGCATCGCTTACGGTGGAGTCGAACGTCTACCTCGTATTAATCGCGCGGGAACATGGAAATACGGCAAATGGGACATCCCTCCCGGAACGCCGGTCGGGATGGACCAGTACCACATGCACACAAACCCTCAAATTTACCCTGAAGCCCATCTCTTTAAACCAGAACGCTGGCTCGGAAATCCTAGAGGACCGGATGGGGTGAAACCCTTGACTTACTATCTGACTGCCTTCGCGAAAGGAACTCGTATGTGCACGGGAATGAACCTGGCATATGCTGAAGTCTTCATCGGACTGGCAACCCTCTTTCGAAGACATGACTTTGAGCTTTTTGAAACGACCCGGAGAGACGTTGAATTTTACGCAGAAAATCTCAAGGCTTGTCCATGGCCAGGCAGCAAGGGAGTCAGGGTCAAGGTGTTAGCAAGCTCGGAAAATATATAGGGACAAGGCACATTTGATGAAATTCGAGGGCTTTGAGGGAATAGCAGGTGATACTTAGTTTTCTCTTCTGGAATTGAGCGAGGATAATACTTATGGAGAGAGGCGGGAGACAATATCGCAATGTAGACTGAGTCCAGAGACGCACCCTGTCATGACGACTCGCCTTGACAACTTGCAAAGGCTCCGGCTTGGTATTTGAAACCCGGATTCTCGACTATTCGCCCTAACGACTTGAAACTTTAGGAGTCTAATTAGCTATTGGGAAAGAGGGACCTTATGTGATAGAATCAGTGAAATCGGAAATATTGGTACTTGGCACTAGTGTAGTAGCGTGCCACACACAATTTTTTAAATAATCTCGATCCTTGCAAGACCTACAAGGGAAATTAGTAAACATGATCAGGTTCTGTGTTTGTTAGGAATGGATGAAGATAACATCAGACTGCTTCAGGGAACATGTATCTTGTAGATGACGAAGATACAACCAAGGGCTTCTTCACAGCTGAAGTTGTCCATGCTTGGACCCACGGGTTTTGGCGTAGTTTGTACCGTAGTTTGTAACTACCAGATCAATATCAACTTCCTTGAACATATCCGTTCTAATTACTATATCCTCATAATTGTGGCATCTGTGATATGCTTAGCTAGTGCAGCCTTTTGTCGCTGTTAGTGACGCTTCATGATGGTGTTGACTGATAACTTCTGAATTGAACTGGAGGAACTGATACAGCAATTGATATGCTATATACAGGTCAAATCCCTGCATACTTGCCCGTGAGCAACAGTCTGACCCATTTCAACAGGTGGTATCGGTATAGTAGTAATTGGAGTCTTCATCACTAGTAGGTACATTAATCTGGTATTTGTGTTCGTTGGTTCGAAGATTATCAGCAAATTGGGAGTTCAAGGACTGAATGACCGCACGAGTTCTGGAAAGTGTTGAGCCCAATGAGAGGTAAAATCGGCGTCAATATTTCGATGGAAGTACCTCTCTTGGTAATGTCCATCGAAAGCTGCCTTGCAAGTTTGCCATATTTCGAGACTGAGTTGCGACAAATATACCTTGTATTGGTCCCCCTGATGATCGAGGACTGCTAAATCCCTGTAGCTCCTCTTGGGTTTGAACCAATTTCTCTTCAAGTTCCTCTCGGAGGGTAGGAAGCGTTGACGACATCGCTAAGTCCACTAGATGGACTGACGGGATACTGCTCAACTTTCAAATTTTATAACAAGTTTATTCTCCAATTGTTTTATGTCAAGATCTATCAGTCCATTATTGAATCGGTAATAAATCATTATCGCAATTCAGATATCCGAACGATGTTTCAAGAGATACTGCTAATTCAATTTTTGGAGTGTCCCTTCAGTCCGTACACCCACTGGTGGTCGTCTATTCTCGGAAAATGCTCTGCAAATCATGCACGACTTTTATCATTATAGCATGTCCAAGATCTGACAAAAGATTTTCTAGTCCTCCATCACATTCATCATTGAAGTCAATCATCATTGAAAGACTAAGAGCGCCTAAGACAATAAAAATCATACGAGTATCAAACTCTCGGCTGTTAACAAGAGACAAGGTCAACTCTTACTACTTTTGAGAGATGTAGATCATTAACATAGCAATTTGAAAAAGTGGTTGAGCTATCTAAATCATAAAATAATAATAAATTTACTGGTGTAGAGCGTGGCTGATTGTTCGAAATTATTCAGTGAAACCATAACCTAAATTTTCGGCACATAACCTCAGTTAATTAGATACTCGAATTCTACTTAGAACACGAAGAACTACGAACCGTTTTAGGAATTTTCAGTCTGCTATAAATGAGAAAATACATAGTGAATTTATTTTAGTGAACCATTTCAAAGGACAAAGAGGATGCGAGACAAAAAACGAAATGACGTTCAACCTCATGCATCTCGAGCCGAACCGAGTCGGCACTGATCATATGCTCCCCCACGAGCCCATAAAAGCCAACAAAAGCCTCTGCGACCTTTCCAACCATTTATATTTCACCACACCCCTTCAAATTAAGCACAGCTCATTCACCGAACTGACACAGCATTTCCACAGTTCTATTAACCCACCTAAAATTCACCATCTATCACCCGGTTCAATCAGCTCGCAAATAGCAGCTGACCCTAAATATTACGATCACCATATCTCAAATTCCTCTTCAAAAACAACCTTCCGTCACTTGAAGTCAATATGCGCCACTTACAAGCTTCCCTCTCTTTCAAATTCCATCAAGCCCAAAATTATTAGTCGGAGACTTTCTCTCTAGCTATACTCAAAATGCCAGATATATCACGCAATCGTATCGAAATCTGGCGTAGCGAAGTTGAGTCGCAAACATCATCGCAATCGGGTGTGGCAGTAGAAATGGGTTGGAATGCACCGGTTGTACGACCACAGAGCTTTTGGAGGCGGGTACTCGGATTGGGATATAGCGGCAGTGGCAGCGGGAGCGGCTCTCGTGGTCACGAGGTTGGAAATGGAAGTAGAAGTGGAAGCAGAAGCAGAACTGGAAGCAGCAGGAGTGTGAGCATAGGTAGGAAACTTGGATTGGTGAAAGGAGAGATCGAACGAACTGGGATGTATACCGTGAAGATCAAGGGAGATAAGGATGAGCTCGAAAGAGGAAGGGACCTGGAGGGGAGAGAGAAAAGCGGAGAGAGGGGTGAAGGAAGTAGTATGGAACTTGATGGTTGTGAGGAAAGTGTGAGGGGTGGGTTGAGGGAAAGAAAAAACAGGTTAGAAAGGGCAGCTAAGCTGCTAGGAAAGAATGAAGGACCGAGGGAGAATAGACAGAGGAGTTAGATTGTCTTGTGGATGGGTATCTTGATGAATGGTTGGGATTGCACAGACGAGTTGCGATAAGTTGTAATGGGTTGCGAGGCAGTATTTGGCGGATTGGATAACATCATTCATGACACAGGAGAATTAGCATTAGCATTGGACAAATTGATGGGTGGGGCTACCTATGTACTACAACCTCAAATAAGGTCACACGGTGCCTTCAAATACCTCACGAATAAGCCAATACCATCAACCTTGACCAAATCTCTGGCTGTTGACTGTTCGAACTCAGTTGGTAACTCGGAACGGGCATCGTGAAATATTCAATGAAACTTGTAGCACTAGCTATGAGAAATGGATACATAATTGTTCAGATGATAGTTTGATTGATAAAGGCACCTAGATAAGTATTTATATACCTACCTACTCAGGTAGTAAAACTTCACTCCTGTTTATTCAATATCTGAACGTTACCATAGTACGAACCTCAAGAAAATGTGGGAAATAGATGGAAGTGTTGTTTACATCACATGACCAAGTGTTGATTTCTAACCCAGCGGCAAGAACCAACTCCGACACATTTTCCATAATGATAATTTAAGTCCTTTGGTTCTGCATCTTTGTTACACCTTATCTACAGAAAACATGTCCAAAACAGTTGTTGTCAAGTCACCAGCGGAATTCAGTAATCTACTGAAGACCTCTAAGATTGTTGTGACAGATTGTAAGCTACCCCGCCGAAAGCCCCTCCCATTACGACTTGCCCCTCCATCACTATTTGCAATACTACTATGAACTGGTATGGGCCTCACTAATGCTTTATCCTTTCTCAAGTTTACGCGGATTGGTGCGGACCATGTAAGGCCATTGCGCCCATGTACGAGCAGCTTTCTGCGCAGCTATCTCGTCCAAACAAGATTACATTCACAAAGGTCAATGTTGACGACCAGACCGAGATTGCATCTACCTATGGTATCACTGCGTATGTCTTCCCTGTATAGCACATTGCTGAGAAAGTGGATGGAGCAGATAGCCCGGGGATATTTATACGAAGTATCCGCTAATACAACTTTGATAGTATGCCAACATTCATGATCTTCAAGGGGGGCAAGCAAGTCGAGAAAGTCCAAGGTGCCGATCCAAAGAAGCTACAAGATATTGTAAGGAAGTTGGCTGCAGAGGCAGATGATTCGGGGGATTCTTCGTCTGGATTCGCAAGTGGTTCTGGTTCTGGCGATTGGCGCGCAGGAGCTCTTCCGAGAGGCTACAACGATGTGACAGACCAGGTTGATATCAAGGGTCTAGAACTGTTGAACGCTGACAGTGAATTCGGAACTGTGCGAACATTAGTTGATACAAGCAAACCCAGTGCCTTGTCGAATGGAAAGGCAGCAGATTCGAAGACTAAGGACTGGGTTGTCAGTGACACGGATGAGCAGCTCATGTTGTTCATGCCGTTCCAATCTATGTTGAAAGTTCATAGTGTTCAGGTAAGAGGCATTTATCATTTGCGCATAGTTCTCAAGTACTGAAGCTAATCTCCCGTCTCACAGATCACATCTCTGCCTTCAGCATCTGATAACGAGGGTGAGGATGATGAAGAGCCAATGCGACCAAAAACTATCAAGATCTACACAAACCGAGCTCACACTGTCGGCTTTGACGAGGCTGAAGGTCTTCCTGAGACACAAACCATCACACTGGAAGCCAAGGACTGGGATTCAACTGGCACTGCTACATTATCACTCCGCTTTGTCAAGTTCCAGAATGTTACAAGCTTGGTATTCTTCATTGTGGATGGTGATGGAGACAGTGAGAAGGTACGCATTGATCGGATTAGAATTATTGGGGAAACTGGTGAAAAGCGCGACCCAGGAAAGCTGGAGAAGATTGACCATGACCATTAAAGACGATGAAGTATAATTTGTTTACGATGTTGAGCGGTATAGTTATACAATGATAGGCATGGGATGGCGTTAACAGATGTGCCTTCTGGGCGCTTTTGTGCATGGCATTTGAGTAGCATGATTTATGAATCAGGATCATGTAGATATCCTTTTTCCGCGGAACTGATTTCACATTCTCGATGACTTCAAGTGATTGTAATAATTTGAATTGAAACTCTAAACTACAATCTATTTTCCAAAAAAGAAAAAACCACAAACCGAATCTGTATCAACAGTCGCAAATATCTACCTTGACTGGCGCGCGCAATGTGAAGCGCATCTTTGAATGCCATCAAGACAATTGTGACCTTCCGACAGGATTCCTGCAGTCCATCAAATCTGCTTCTAGTCCAACCAACATGGTATTAAAATAAAGAATGTCCGAACTCTCTCCATCCTCTCACCCACCAACCGTTATCCGTTGGGCCCTTTCAGACAAACCGACGAACACAGCCTGAATTCTCGACGAAAAGTTTCGAATTCGCGGAAAGAGGTTAAAGAGAAAGCAGCGGTTGCAATTGGGATCGATCTATGGTACCATTGACACTCGTTAACATCATGGCGAGCAGATGCGCGAAAAACACGAGGTACCAAGCCGCACTTAAAAAATAAGTTGAAGAAAAAAGGTCTTCAGTTGCGCGAGGAAATTTTCTTATATCTCACAAATTTTGGCGGGTCCAAGCTAGTTGTGAGGCTAGGCTTAATGGAGATTGGTGTGATTTTTCAATATCTGGATGCCTTAAATTTTAGTCAGACAGCTTATTCTCCGAGGTCCCGAATCTTGAAGGCTTGAAGTCCCGACATTTTCATTACGTCGTACCTACATACCAGGTATTTTCATAGCCGACTTGCCACGCTAATCCTCACTTTGTAGGCATCCATTTAACTACCACTAGTCTGTCGTCCAAATGATGTCGAGTCTAGAATTCTAAAAGTCTAAAAGTCTAAAAGTCTAGACTTCGTCAATCTAAACTCTATTTCGAGAGGAGACCACCACAGTGGCATATACACACACACGCAATATTGAACAAGTTTGATATCGGACAATTTTAATTCAGGATACTCAAGTTCCAGTATCAGTCATATATCTGTCCTTTATCTATTTTCCTTGAAGGTTGATTACTAGGTGGGTATCTAATCCTCATTAGTAAGGCCCATTGGTATTTTCACATGTTGTAGTATGTCACATGTGGACTAAGTAGGTCATTATAGTGTACTTCCAACGTCTCGAGTCACTAATGTACAAAGTTAATTTTCTATGCATCATACTCTCCCAGACTGTATATCTCTACTTGATTGCAAGAGCAATGCAAACCATTTCACTTCTTCCATCAGCCTGAGTATAATGAAAACCAAAATTATGGCTGAACAGAAGCAGTCAAGAGCTTCTTTATCATTATGGCCAATGCGAATGTCCTGTCCCGCCTGTCTCCCGTGAGAAAAAGCGATGCTTGGACCACATCATCATCAGATCTTCTCCCCGAGCTCCAGGTGGACGATCAACAGTCAACTAACTACTTTGTATCCATCTTGGCTAGAACCGGTCGTTCTTGAACCACTAAAATACGATTTGTGTCTGGCTGTGCAGGCTTTCTCTAGTAAAAATCGTCAAGCTTGTGGTTCGATGACCTACTTGCGCACGAAGGGTACATTGGCGTAAGTGCCGTTTTGCTAATCTGGACCCTCTTCATGATAATGATGTGCATGATGGGTGACCCTAGCCTAACCATAGACTACGGAAATCAGAGGATTTCACACCACCTTTACATTCCACTTTAAGCACCTCTATAATCTAGTTAGAACAGATACTGTTTGAATCCAAAGCAATCTTCTGATTCCACCCTCCTCTACAATCTTTAAATCTCGACGCTGACTGCGACTTGCATTAGCCGGCACCTGCACATACATATAGGTTGCAGTTTCCGCAGATACCGGTTCCGGAAAGGGCAACCAGCTGGCCACCACTTTGGCAGGACGTCTTAAGGCTTGAATACATTCTGAGAAATTCACGAACAAGACCTGAGTGATTCAAGGCCATACTCCCCACAATAAAGTGCAAAACAACTGCATTTTATGCTCACCTGATTGACGACCGTTCTCCCTCGACCCGATGACCGATCGACTTTATATACCACTCAGGTCTATGTGGCCAAAACTTGTAGATCAACCCTATCACTATGCCCCTCATGCCGGTTCTTCACAGAGCAAACCTGCCGAATTTTATCCGTCTATGCGTTCGAAAGGAGGATGCTGGTATGCCTTTCATCTATCCGGATTTTGTACACCAACTAATTCACGTGTAGGACATGTAGAGCTCGTAGTTCGTATTCTATCGCTTCCCTCCAAGCTTTTCATAGTGGTGACTACAGCTAATAATTTTCGTTGCATAGAGGTCAAGTGTGATGAAACAAAGCCCACATGCAAAGTCAGTAGCTATTCTACTGGGGATCACGCATTGTATCATATTACTGACATATCTCTAGCAATGTCATCGTCTTTTTCATCATTGGTACATCCGCTTCTTCTCTTTGTATGTAAATAAATGACTGACCAGCATAGTGACTGGGAACCAAGAATCGCTTTCAAGTATGAAACAAATAAAATTGTAGCCCGTACGACAGGGGTTTCTTTGGACAGTTGTTTGGTCTGGAATCGTATGTTTAACGGAACTACCTTGTTCTTAAAAGTCCTATTATTGACGTCTCCAGCATCCGCTTCCATTACGCCTCCGCCAAGCAATCGACCAAAGGAACATGACACATTACCACCCTATAGAGAATTGTCAACCGACGAGGAACGCGAGAAGAAGGCTTCCTATGACCGACCGGGAGTTTATACTTTAGCCGTTATACCGGAAAGTTTTCATGGGTTACCAGAGTACCAGACCCAAAGCTCACGCCTGACAAGCTTTGGTACGAATAGGAAGCCTTCCGCTCATCGATTCCAGTCAACCAGGCCAGATGTTGTTATCCTAGAAAGATTTGTAGGATATCCGGGCAGTCGTGGCCAGTCAGAAAATCCACTCTCCAGGAAAGCCAGCTTGGAAAAAGTTTTATCTCCCAACGAGGTACCCTCCAGGAAAGCCAGCTTGGAAAAGGTTTTACCTCCCGGCGAGCTACCCACCACACTTGAGGATAAAGAGGCAGACTCATATCTACTGGATCATTATCGGAATGTGCTGGCGAATCAGATATGCTGGTTGGGTGAACAAGCTCCGGGGCCAGATATATTTGAAAGATATTCTGCAGATTACTCTCCTGTAAGTAAAAACAAAGACATCAAATCTAGACACTTACTTATAGAGAAGTTGTATCTTGCAATCCTGGCTTTGTCTTCCCTAAGTCTATCTCAATTGAACAATTCACCTTTTGAGGATGTTTTGTGAGTATAAGCCTTGTCATCATCAGGAGAATGCACAAATCAATTTGTCAATCCTGGTACTTGACATTGAGAGCTAATATCAAGGGAAGGGAACGATACCATATGGTCATTACCGCCTTGGGCAGTTCACTCAAAACTACGGAAGACGCCCACTCTGATGGGGCGCTGTTCACGCACTATTTACTTTTACTATTTGAGGTAAGTCAGAGAAGCACTTCGCATTCGAGGTAGAATCATAATTGATATCCTTGGTCCTTTGACAAACACACTTATTAACGAATGGTGCAAAGGTTGCTGCGACCGGACATCGTGAATTCAACATGTGGGAACAGCATTCCGATAGAATTCTATGTATTCTTCAGCTTCGGCAGAAAATTTATGGCAAAGAACCACATGGATTCATTATTGTTGTAAGTGTAATCAAATGATTGTTCTTGGATTCCCGATTTCAAGCCCCTGCCTTATGCTTCGGCACCCCCCTTTCAAGATATAAGATATTCCTGATTGGCAAATTCGATATCGGCTTCCAATGATGGAATCAGCACAACATTCAAAGCTGGTTCCGTACCTCAGACCATTTGATGTTTTTGATTGTACTCGAAAATTGAAAAACTCTGATTGCAGGGCTGCAATGCGTACTATTGGAGATCTGCCCTTTTCTACTTTTCAATATAGCAGCTACTTGCCGTCTAATTACATTTGCCTTCACAATAGACAACCACTAATACCGATATTGTAGTATACCTCATATGTTGACATGTATGCTCTTCTGACCACTACTGGCACAGGGTCTTTCAGCAAAGCCATTATTGAGCAAAACATGCTGCCGCCTCCCGAAGACGCTCTGGAGAACCGATCGCTCAACATGATTTTCATCCCGGAAGCACTTCGCCAGATGCCAGATTTGCTGAAGATGAATCGAGAACTAACTCTGATCGCCCTTGAAATGGCACAAACGGGACGAAAATTGAAAATTGAAGAAAAAGATCTCTCAAAGCCAAGACTCGAAGTTAACATGAATCGATGCAGATCCATGCAAGATTTGCACGTACTTCTGATGAAATTCCATGACACTTGGTCTAGATTTTTAGAGAGGAAGACGCCGGAAGAGAGCTGGCTTCACGAATTGGCACAACTTCCAAGCGGACCATTTACTTGTAGAACACATGTTAGTTTTTCCCAATCAATGCACAAGGAAACCCATTGACAGAGCTAGGTACAGTTATTTTATCGAGCTTGCAAAATCTACTATCACACAAGTATGTATCAAGGTCAATCGTTGGTACTAGCAGCAGAAGTGGGAGAACAACTCTCTACATGTGCCAGAGAGATAATTTTGATAACCGAGATGATGATAAATCTAGGGTGTCTTGAGTTTAGATTCATAGTATTCCCTATTTTTATGGCGGGTATGGCATCTCGGGTGAAGGAAGAGAAACAAAGTGCTCTAGAATTTCTTCGCAGATTGGAGGAGACAAGCTTTGGTTCGAATACAAACACCACGAGAAAGTTACTCGCATCGATAATCGAAAAACAAGAAGAAGCGATCGCTCAGACGGGAAACCATTTGTGTGTTAGTTGGATTGAAGAATTGGAATTGAGTGGACTACAATTAATTATGGTGGGCTTGTAATATTATTTATGGGGTATAGGGTTTGCGGTGTTGGTGGCTTATTACTATGGGATGACAGGAGATGGCGTCAAAAACTGATTCGAATTATCAGATGGTCTTGAGTAATTCTGGTCGTTCCGGTCATAATGGTTGTTCTGATTGTTCTGGTCGTCCTGGTCGTCCTGGTCGTCCTGTACTATTAGCTGTAGGGTTAGAACTAGATCATATAGATTGTTCCCGATGAGAATATTGTAACAGTAGTTACTAGGTAGTCATTAATACTGAAAACATCATATTATATCAAACTACCAGGGATTTGTTGCACACGTTGTTTTAAAGTCTCTGTATCTGTCTTTTGTATCTGCGAGTGGGAGTAGAAATGCAGATAGATACGAGGGCATCCCCTCCCCCTCTTTCAAAGCTTTATAGTTATTCCAATTTGTACGTGTACTCGTACTCGCTTTTATAGTCTTATGAGGTTATTGCTGTTATACCACTAGAATGCAGTCTAAATGGTGCATAAAGTACATCACCCTCATGCCATAACCTACAAAAGCTTTCCTTAGAAATCTTGATACAATAATTTTCTTGCAAGCTCTTAAACTTTCCAGCTTATACAAATTAACTTCACATCTCCTAATTGGGTAATATTATAGAAAAACATATTCATAGTTTGATTTGAGCCTTGTTTTTTATGAGGCTGCAACGACCCGGAGCGCAAACCTTTGTCTGTTGTTTGATTGGTTGATATTGCCCCGCCGCCTTATGTTATCAGGTTGCAGAGGGGTGACGATTTCGGATGGTATCGATATCCACATCTCGATGAAACAACATTTAACTTATTTGTACAAAAGAAGATCTAGGTTGAATCAGTTGAAGTCACCACCACTTATTCACCTGCGAAACTGAACCGTATGAACTGCACGCGCCATTTCTAATCATCTTCAGAACCTTACGATTCACGAAATTCAACTCTTCCTCTCATTATCATACTTTCAACCGCGAAGGTTTCTAATTATTCCAAATCCAACATCTTTCTGTCATTTCAAATCATCATACCCTTCTTCATCGCACACACAAACACGAATCTAGTCAACCATTCTTCGACCGATCATTCATCATGGATGACCCCGTCGAAGCTTTTACGTCCATTACAGGGCAATCAGAGGCTGTGGCAAGAGTGTACCTTGGAATGACCGACAACAATCATGAACAAGCAATAGGATTATTCTTCGAAGCGCCCGAACTTGCAAGCCAAAATGCTGCTTCTCAACAAGCCCCGCCACAAATACCTACTTCTACCAGGCCACCAAGATCTACGAACCGCGCCCAGCAAAATGCATCTGGAGTAGTCGATTTGGATTCCGATGACGACATGGAAGTTGATGATGATAATAGCGATGGCGACTCTGACACTGCAACAGCTGCCGCTATTGCACGCGCCGCGGAAGTTGAGGACGATGCAGCTATGGCGCGGAGAATGCAAGAAGAGCTTTACAGCGGTGGGGATGCAAGTGGCGGATTCGATGCAGAAGGCGTGAGAGCGCCTATTGCGAGAACTACGGAGACGCTTGTCGGTGGGCCAGGGGGTTGGGATGGAGATGATGCCCTGCAAAGCGAAGTTTTGGAGCAAATGAGACTCCGGGCTCAAAGACAAACTAGGGCGGCTGGCGGTGGAGGCTCAGGTAAGGACAATGATTTAATCTTTTTTCTTATTAATATTTTTCTGTACTAATATTGAAACAGCTCGAGCAGGCAATCCAGGTGGACGAGCAGCTCCATCGATTTGGGACCAGGAAAACGAAGATACAGCACGAGCGGTCACAGGAGCAGAAGGAACTAGTAAGAGCGCCCGTCTTGCAGAGCTTTTCAGGCCACCATTCGACCTCATGTACAAATTGCCTTGGGACTCCGCTCGCGACGAGGGAAAAGAAAATGGAAAGTGGATATTAGTCAACATTCAAGATAACTCTATCTTCGACTGCCAGTCATTGAATCGCGACATTTGGAAAGACCCTGGAGTTAGAGATGTTGTGAAGGAGAATTTCATATTCATGCAGTATTCCAAGGACGATCCACGGGGCAGCCAATATATCCAGTATTACTTTCCTCAGAAAGATAGCGAGGCTGCATATCCTCATATTGCGATCGTCGACCCAAGAACTGGAGAGCAAGTAAAGGTTTGGTCAGGACCTCCAGTACCAAAGCCTGCAGAATTTCTCATGCAACTGGTTGAGTTCCTTGATCGATATAGTCTCGATCTGTCCAAGAAAAATCCTGTCGCAAGACGAAAGCAAGAGAAGTCAACTGCGGTAGACGTCAATAAGCTCACTGAAGAGGAGATGCTTAATCTAGCGATGCAAAATAGTCTCGCGAATAACGGAACAACGGGACCCAAAGCTGATGATCCAGATGACCTCACAAAGAGTTTCGGAGATGTCAGCAAAGGAAAGGGTAAAGAGACTTCAGAAGAGAGCTCAGAGATAGCCGAACCTTCCCAAAATAATTCCAATTCTGGTGCAGAAGTCTCTCCTTTCTCTCAGATTCCTTCTGACAGGCCGCACACTGAGCCCGAAGGCCCCCTTTCACAAAGCACGCGCATTCAGTTCAGACACGCCAACGGTCGTATTGTTCATAGGTTTAGGCTCGATGATACAGTACGTCGCATTTACGAATGGCTAAAGTCGGATCCACTGGAGGGGAAAGCAGGTGTTCCGTTTGAGCTGAGAAGTGCAGGCAAAGATTTGATAGATTCTTTGGACGAAACGGTCAAGGCTGCGGGACTCAATAATGGGACTGTGATGGTGGAATTCATCGAGGAGTAAATGTTTTGAGATTTTGGAGATTATTGATACCAGAGAGATTGCTCGCATCGCAGGGCGAGATAATAATGAGCTGTTCACACCGTACATGGAAAAATACGCTCACTCCCCTGAGGTTGCTGATCCATCATTTCTCATAAAGAAAATCACATAGGGAGGGCTTTTCCCTTTTCTTACTTCGGCACCTCATCGTTGTACATAGACGGGACTTTCCAGCAATGCAAGGATTATCGGGTTCCTGGGCTATAGATTTATGGGAATGAGAAATGAGAGTATCACGATATAAAATTTATTTTAATTGACATGATAGTATTGGTACGATAGTAGTGACACTACTAATGAAGTTCCAGATGCTTGAATTATTAGATTGATATGATTCTTTGGTGTTGCTTGAGTGACGTTTATGACATACAGTAGTAACCGCCGGGGGCCATACGCTACGCTTTTTAACCCCTGAAATTATTGACGTTTGGCGAAGTGGGCAAGTTAAGCTCCTCGGTTTCAACCAATTGGTTGAATGAGGTGGTTGGCTGGTAGACAAGATGCATGAAATGACAACAAAGACCAGTCATTTCATGAAAATAATAAGCAACAATGTGTTTGGTTTTCTAGGATTTCGATTTGTTCCTGGTTCTTTAATCTCAAATCTGGGAGTGCATAAGAGAAGAGTCATAATTATTATTAAACAAATAAAAAACAAATTTACTAACTAGGCCCATTCGTTCCTCGACAGCCAATGCATGCCTAGGTACCTTCCCCAGATTGATGAAACAATACCTATCCATCCATATCTTCTGTCTATCTATCCCGCGTCTACCTCTATTCGTGCATGCCGCTTCCCATAAGTTGCATTCCTCTAGATAGCTAGCTCGAGTTGCTACTTCTCTTCCATTTCTACACAATCATTTTTCTTACTCCTTTGCGAAAAGAAAGGTTTACGTTTACCATATTTACGATTCTAAATACCACGACCGGCTTCGACATTCAATCTCTTTCTTCTCTATTTGATATAGTGATACACACCCTCGGTAGCCGTTGACCCCACCATACCATACCGTACACCGCGTTCACAGGCCCAGATCGCGATCCCCTTGTCCCTCTGCAGAAAAAAGGAAGAGACGGAACCAACAAACCTTCTCCCGGCTGTTCGTATACGAGACGATAAGTTATAACAAAGTATAACTGATTGTGCCTGATACCTTGGACGATAGGGCAAATCAATTCACTACTACAGCCCTTCCTGGGGTTTGGAGAGCGACGAAATATCAGCGGGGTGCTCCCAGTAAGACGCGGACAACAAACCGACAACACGACCTGACACCAGCAGTGGCGTTATCTCACTTCTTTTTGCAAATCAAATCGGTTTTGATTTTGAGTAATGGCGCATGAGATGAGTGGTGTTGTAGATCCTGAGACTTTGTATACAAAGCAGAATTGCATCGGTATGTTTGCGTATACTTTCATCACTCTGTATAAAGGCTCATTTTTATAGGCGGTGGTAGTTTTGGTAAAGTTTACAAAGGGTATGGTTCTTCCTTCTGCCAATTGACAATCCAATTTCTCACCTAGGCCATGTACTAATCTTTAGCAGAGTTGACAAGCGCACCGGGCAGGCTGTAGCCATAAAAGTTATCGACGTTGAAAATGCCGAAGATGAAGTCGAAGATATTATTCAAGAGATCTCTATTCTTTCCGAATTACATTCCCCGTTTGTTACGCAATACTATGGATCATATCTTAGAGGTTCGGATCTTTGGATCGTTATGGAATTCTGCTCGGGTGGTAGTTGTGGTGACTTGATGAAGCCGGGTCTGATACAGGAGGAATATATTTCGATTATCATACGGGAACTTTTGCTAGGCTTGGATTATCTTCATGGGGATAAGAAGCTTCATAGAGATATTAAAGGTTTGCATGATTTTCGGTGGGAACTTGAGTTTAGATTCCAGGAGCTAACATCTGAGGACAGCTGCAAATGTTCTACTGGGCGCCAATGGACAAGTTAAGCTCGCGGATTTCGGTGTTTCGGGCCAATTATCTGCTACCATGACCAAGAAGAATACCTTTGTTGGAACCCCATTCTGGATGGCCCCGGAAGTCATAAAACAATCTGGTTATGACCACAAGGCGGATATATGGTCTCTGGGAATTACAGCACTCGAACTCGCCAATGGCGAACCTCCATACTCTGATATCCATCCAATGAAAGTTTTGTTCCTCATCCCTAAGAATGCGCCCCCAAAATTAGAAGGAAATTTCACCAGGGCTTTCAAAGATTTCGTCGAATTGTGCCTTCAACGAGATCCGAGAGAACGACCATCGGCTAGAGAATTGCTGAAACACGCCTTTGTTCGAAAAGCAAAGAAAACCTCATATTTGACGGAATTGATAGAGAGATACGAACGTTGGGCAGTGCATCACAAGGGTGACGATGATGACTCGGATAATGAACGAGAAGAAGCTCCCCGACCTAAACCGGTCGATGAAGACTTGTGGGATTTTGGTACGGTCCGACCAGTTGGCGGAAGAGTAAATGGAAGGGTTGGGCTGAATACTATGGGAGAATCTGATACGAATGCAAGAGCATCGAGGTTATCAGAGGAGAATAATTATGCAGAGCGTCCGAGACAGCAATCGCCCTCGAAATTAAAAGAACCAGGATATGTGTCGAGTATTGAAACTGTCAAAGCCACAAATTGTCCAGTAGATGCACAACCCAGGCAACCTTCTCCACAGAGACGGCCTGTTCCAAGTATTCAGACTTCAATGTCTCCTACCAAGGTTCCTCTTCCACCATCACCAGAAAAATTCAGACCTCCAGGATTGGAGACACCTAGAACGGCTGCGAGCTACATAAATAGACAAGTTTCTGATTCTCCTGATTATGATCGTACTTTGCAAGAACAACTCCAAAAAGATATGGGATTTCTAAAGCTCGGTGAGCCATCTCCACCGCCATTGCGAATACCCCCTTCTACCGCCCAAATACCAATACAGTATACGAATCAAAATACACCGCCTTCAGCATTACCACGGCCAAATACGCAACAATCATTACCAAAACTTGCCCCCATCAAATTGCCTGAAATCCCTCCATTCCGTGGCAGCGGTCAGCCTCAACCACTGCAGCAAAGACTTCCAAACCAAATACCTACTGCAGAGCCTCGGAAACAGCAACAGCAACAGCCACTTCCATTACCTCCTAACCCTACAGGCCTTCAAAATATCAATCTACGCCAAACAGGTCAGCAGCCATTACCTGCATTACCATCCAAAAAATTACGCAATACTCCTTCTCAAGAAAGTATTTCATCTCAATCTTCTAGAGCTCCATCATCTATGCCTTCACCTGCTCCTGCTAGCCCAACCGGAGATCTTGATGCCTTGAACGATGTGATCTTCCCTGCGCTTGAAGAAGCACTCAAACGACGTCAGTATCGCTTACAACATGCTTTCCGCACGACTGGAGCCACTCCAAAGCAACAAAGGGCACAAGCTGCTCATGAGAAATTACGAAAACTAGTTTATAAGCTTGCACATGTGTGCAAGGAAATCGACCATTGGGATAAACAGGAACCAGTGGGGATGGGGAAGGATGTGGATGTTTTCCTCGAGGGATTGTTAGAGGAAATTTTGGTCAGGGTCGAACCGGCTGATGAGGAAGATGTGGATATGAGACGATGAATGGATCAGTGCACAATTACGAATTTTAATGTACGATGCATGAGGTATGAGGAATGAAGAAGACCTAGGTAGGGTCTACCATTATGGATGAATGGGTCGGTTAGGTACAAACTTGATCGAATTCTACGATATGAGGCGTTGGTTGGCAGAATTGAATTTGGTATTCCAAGAGAGGATTGAGGGGCTTGTGTCAAGTACTTACTATCAAGGCTTGCTAGAGATTTTAGGTATTAATATTATAAAATTGAAGATGATGATTCCTCTGGAAGAAGCTTCTTCTCATCTATCCAATTTATCAGTCATCCGTTCACAATTCCTTGATTGTTATTCTTTTGAGTATCGCTGTGTAGTGCAGACACCTTGAGTGAGTGACTCAATGACACTGGTATGAGTGATGTGATGGATCGTGTGTTTGAGAAAGTTCTAAATAGATTTGGACATTCAAAAGTGATTGAGGTATTGCTAAAGGGGTTCTAAGGATTGAAATATATGATTATAATTGCGAGTATTGATCACTCGCTTGCTCTTCATTGTCATTGTTCCCAATTTGCGACGTCTCGTGAGACATTTACATTTACATGCACTTCTCACTTCACATTCGCGGATGCTGTTAATGGATACTTCGCCTCTCTCACCTTTGAACTCTGGAGTAAGTCCACGGGAGTTGTTCACCTTTGGGGTGCCTATTCCATCAAGTAGTTTTGAACATTCCCTGGATAGTCTTCTTGTTGCTCCTGCTGAACTTGACGTGTTTGGCTCTTTCTGGGTTGGGAACTGGATTCTGCTTTACCCCGCTCTTAATTTCAGTCAATTCACTAGGTAGGGAGTTGATTGCTTACTCCTTGCTGTCGTTCATCCTCTTTCAATCTTCAATCTTCAATCTTCAATCTTCAATCTTCAATCTTCAATCTTCAATCTTCAATCTTCAATCTTCAATCTTCAATCTTCAATCTTCAATCTTCAACTCACAACTTACAACTTACAACGTGCAACTTTGGCTTTTCGAAAACTTATCTTCAACAACGATCTTGTCAACAACACAACCTTCTACTATCATCACCTTGCTTGCTGGCGCTGACTTATTGCAAAGGCTTGAAAAAGGAAGTTGATACAGAAGCATCACTATCATCTTTTTACCTTTGGCCCCTCGGTTCATTTTACAGCCTTCTGATTTACTGGCTCTGATTCTTATTTCCGACATTGATTTCTTCGAATGTGATTAACTTCTTCCGATATCATCCAACTTCTTCGCGCGGGCTCTCTATCAATACCTATTATCTCTGGAGAGGTGATTTCATACATAGTATTCACCACCATTTTTTGCCTCCAGCTTCACGGCTATCTACTTTGCGCTGCAGATTCAACCTTTGATCATCTTTTCTTCGGCATCTACTTTCTTTTCGAATATTTGACTTTTGACTTTGATAGCAAGTCTTTCTCGACATCTCAATACCAAGTGTCGACTTTCTATCGCTCTCTCTTGCTCGCGCAGAAGTTTTCATCTAGCATAAGAAAGGCCATATCTCTCGTCGATAAGAGTGATATGCCATTCCGAGGAACCGACATCGCTATTCCGATTTATTCTCTTCTATCTTCGGCGATTCGTTACTCAGTAATACTGAACTCGTTGCTGGGATTTCACAATCTACCTCATCATGATTGATAGTATTGGTCCCAGTCGTCGAAACAGTTTATCTCAGGCCTCTAAATCTCCTTTCTCAAACACTCTCGTCCTTCGGCCACCAAAAAGAGAAGGAGGGTTACTGGATATGCAGGTCAGCGATTTTATCGACTTGGAGATCCGCGATAAAGTTGCAGCAATACTTCCATCCTATCCATCATACCCTCTTCTTTATCTTACTTATGTACTAATTAGGAGCGATGGGGCATCGGACGTAGCCCGAAAGTTCCTCCGCGATACACGCCAAAATAAGGGTCAATATCTATCGATCACTTATGTCACAAGTTTAGAGGAAATTGGGGATGTCAAAATGCGCGACAAAGTTGAAAAAATTATCAATATGGCGCCGGAGGTGACTATCTGGTGGGCTTTTTATGCCTTGCAAGTTTGTGATGGATCTTTTGATTGTGCTATTCGTCTGTTATTTGAGGGTGTTGTTGATGCTTCTAAGGTCCCTGCGACACACGTAGCTCCTGTATCTACTAGGCGTGTCAGTCCGGCAACCAGTCCCATGAGCAGACCAGATGAAAGTTTAATTGTCGATTCGTCGTCAGATTCAGAAAGCTCTTTTTCCAGCGACACTAGTGGCGACAATTCAGCCAAACCCAGTCTATCCTCACCTGAGCTATTGCACCATACATCAAACAACATATTCATCGATACTAGCGATGATGACAAAGACTTAAAGTCAGAAAAAGATATTGCGACTTGGCGTGCCAGCCCTGACTACAGCAAACTGCGAAAGCCACCTATTGATAAAGGTAAAGGCGTGGATAGATCAGACCCGGAAGATTTTAACTCCGATATTGAGATGAGCAATATTCCACCCTTCAAGGAGAGTCCTCAGGCAAAGAGACACGAGGAACAGAAACGAAATTGCAAGTTCTGTGGCACGGAACAAAAGAACTGGTTGGCGCGAACTAGTCATGAGGAATCATGTCGTCTGAAGTCGAAGCATATCTGTGTCAAGTGCAAAAGGGAAGTCTCGATGTCTAATATTAGAAGGCATGAAGCCAGGTGTGATGGCCGTCAAACCTCGAGACGTGATGGCCCAGAACATGAGGTCCGTGATTCAACAAGAATGACCGCTTCTCGTGACAGTTCTCCGGATTTTGATTCATCTGATTCTCATACAGAAGATCAGCTTCAAAAGGTGAAGGAAATGCAAGAATACCTTCCTCGCCTTTCGGTTGGTAAATGCATCGAGTCCTTAGCGTTGTGCGATTATAATGTCGAAGAGGCTATAAAGTTGGAGAGGGAGACGTTGACTTCAGATGATGGACTTGAAAACCCCGATGTTCGAGGTTCGTGTAGCCGGAAGGATGTTTCGCTAAAGAGAGGATTGGGAAGCACGTCGGTAAGTTGAGCTTAAATGATGATATTAGTGTACAGCTTCTGATAATACTTAGGTTGAGCGTGTCACCAAGAAGGCTCGTATCCAGGTCAGTGATGGAGATACGAGTTTGGAGCCCGCAAGCCAGTGGATTAAGTATGTGCCCACTTCCCATCGTTCGAACGTCGAACGGACATTCTAATCATGCTTTATAGAACCACCTTTTCTGGTCTTTGTCAAAACTCGACCAACCTTACAATTGTCTATCTCTCTGGCTGGAAATGTCGTTCAGTTCCGACGAAGCTTATTTGCGACAACTCAAAATACTTAAAGAATATGTTTAATCTCACAGGAGGCGAAGATGCTCCAAAGAAAATACATCTCTCAGATGTCGAGCCAGATCTCTTTGATGCGCTCATACAATATATGGTCTGTCGCAACGTCTCGTTTGGTTCTCGAGTAAGCCAAACACGAAAGATTACTTCGATTGTAAACTTCATAGTCCTCGCAAACGAACTCGAAGTTGCTGGGCCAGCGACTACCATGCTTCCAGCTCTTGAAAGTATTTTGAAACAAGAACGAAAGGGTCCGTCTCCTCCAGCTATTTTGAAAGGTGACCACGTAGAAAAGGTCTTTTCGACACTTGGAGCTGGTCACCCCATTTCAAAACTATTCGTCAGTGCATCAGTACGGCCGTTTCTCGAACACAAAATTGATAACACGTCCGTCGATGAGGACTTCGACAACGGCTCTGAACTCGTGCCAGGCAACATCGAAATCTATCGCAACAAGCCAGCGCATCTTGCATTCAAGCTGAACGATGAATTTAAATCGGCTCTATTATTAAAGGTCTTCGAAACTACGAGCACTAGGGAAAGTCGACAAAAATATACGCGCAGCAAAACTCCCAAGAATTCTACCACTTGGTTTACCGATCCGCTAGATGATAGCCAATTCACTATTTGAGCCGGTTGATCTTTTCCATATTGAGATCACCTCATATGCATTCTGGCTTTCTTATTTCGTCTCATATCTCAGATGCTTGTGCCAGCTCAGAAATTGTAGTAAAGAGTGCTTGGTACGTGGTGAGAGTGGGACGCATGGATTGCATACGAAGGACGGTACAGTGTTTTCACCGTTTATCCTTAAGCCAGTGTTGTGAATTTGCTACCGTCCTAGGATGTGTGGACTTGTTGGACTGAATGTGCCTTCGGCTTTCGGGCCTGGGTATGCTCAATCATGATCTGGTCTCGCTCAGCAGTATTTTCGTTTGTTCAATGAGAATCCCCTTTTTGATCGTCATGACTTAATTCTATTCGAAAACCATTACGGGGAAGACATACGTCAGGATATGAGATGAAAGTTCGAAGAGTGCATCTCCCAATGCGCTTCTACAAATGAACGGGAAGTGGATGAGCAGAAGTTATTTTTATAGTGGAAAATTTGAAGGCGAGACGGAGCAGAAAGATTATAGAATAGCTATAGATGATACTGGGAGATGAATAAAATGAAGGTAATCTTATTAAATATATTGGCTGTGAACTAAACAATCCCGCGTACTCATGAAAACATTGATGGTTTCCAAAGTGAAGGTATGAAATATCGTCCTATATAAGGTAGAGTCACTAAAATTCTTTGATTCACATCAACTTGACGTGTTTGAGATTTGCAATCAAATTCAATGATTGATCTATAATCCAGTTCTATTCATAACACAAAGCATTCTGGTATCAATACTGCTCTTCTCCCACCAAAGAAAACGCTTCCTACATCAACAATCTCCAAGCACCCAAAATCAACGCCGCTGTACCGGTGCAAACTCCCATCAACCACTGCAGCGTCTGAAACTTAACACCCTCCAACTTCTCCCTCAGCCCAGCTACCTCCTGCTCAATCTTTGTTTCCGTTTCCTTGATTTTAAGATCTTGAACATTGGCCTCCTCTCTTATCCTGCCCTTTTCCAAATTCAAATCTAATCGAACAGAAGCTTGGGTTCGGGAAACCTCATCGCGCAGACGAGCATTCAGTTTAGCGAGATCATTGGTGAGTCGCTCGTGAGAAGCGCGAGTTGTGGATGATTCGGTGGAATCTGCAGAGAGGAGTTCGCTGCGGAGGGCGGCGAAATCAACTTTTTGAGTGTAGGTTGCGCGAGCGGCATCTTCGCGGAGGACCATTGTGCGGGTTAGGTTTTGGATGCTGGGATGGATGTTAGTTGACTACAGTGGGAGCTTGAGGAGAGAATCTGTATAGGAATAAAGATAATTACCTTTCTTCAATAACATCGCTGAGTACTTTCATCATAGCCACAGCTTGGGGTTCTGTGAACCCCTCATCCCGTAACCGCTGAACAAACTTCAGGGTATCGAAATGGTGGTCTCGAGATTGACGAGGGGTTGCGTGGAATGCTCTTCGACATGATGGTTCTTGTAATATGCTGGTTCGAGCTTTGTGTCCACTGTCTACGGATCGTACTCGACTGGATATCTGCTGACCAGAAGTAGGTCTTTGTGAATTTCCATTATTGTTTGCTGCCGCGCTGAATGCTCGAATAGTATGCGGGGGTAATGAGGATCGTGTCTGCCAGCTCAATTTGGGGAGTAAGAACCGCGGTAGTGTTTGTACGGAATTTGCAATTGTCTTTGCCATTGTGTTTTACTTCTCTTATAGAACTTAGAAAGTAAAACTAGCTTCGAATCTGGTGCAATTCTTTCCAATTTCCGTTCAAGATGAGTTGTGTTCTCATAGATATTAATTTATGATTGATACATCATGGCCGGCAGTATCCGTTAGTCACCGAAATAGCGGGAGTACGGTGACCGAGATTGCTAGTTTTCTCGGTTGAGTCACCCACTTCAAAGAATATTATCTAGATTCGAAATCTTGCCCATTCACAGTCAACGAGGAATATTATCCACGACATTTGAATCATCTCTCGAATTTAAGATCGTATCTTAGGGAGAATCTCGAGTTATCTGAAATTATTTCAGCCACCACAGATAGCTCCACATAAAGGAATTTCACTCGATTACCCCGCTACGCAAATATTCTAGCAAACAGAACAGCAAAAACCCACCAGAGAACGACCACCCAACATGGCTTCGAACGGTGACAAGTTTGGAAATGATTTGGAATCTGAATCCGATTCTAACCCAGGATCCCCTAATCTCGATGCGCAAGAGATTGACGACAATGTAGAGGATATTGACGAGAAGCCCATCAAATCCGCATTAAAGAAATCATCACATAAAGAACCTGCGCCAGCTATTGTTCGACCTACCTTACCACCTCAAACAGAACCAAAAGACTTAGATGTCAAGTCCCTGACCCCCCTCACCCCAGAGATTATCGCAAGACAAGCAACTATCAACATTGGTACTATTGGACATGTGGCGCACGGAAAGTCGACTGTGGTGAAGGCTATCTCTGGAGTACAAACTGTTCGTTTCAAGAACGAGTTGGAGAGAAACATTACGATCAAGCTTGGTTATGCCAATGCGAAGATCTACCAATGCGATAACAAGGAGTGCCCAAGACCTGGATGCTTTAGAAGTTATAAGAGTGAGAAGGAGGTTGACCCACCCTGTGAAAGAGAGGGATGCAGCGGTACCTACAGACTTTTGAGACACGTATCGTAAGTTATCATTGCTTGCACTTTTACGCAGCAGCAATACCTAACATGTAACAGTTTCGTCGATTGCCCTGGTCACGATATTCTCATGAGTACTATGTTGTCTGGTGCAGCCGTCATGGACGCCGCTCTCTTACTTATTGCTGGAAACGAAACTTGCCCCCAACCACAAACATCCGAACATTTGGCAGCTATCGAAATTATGAAGCTCGACAAAGTCATTATTCTACAAAACAAGGTCGACTTGATGAGAGAAGAAGGCGCAAACCAACATTACCAATCGATATTGAAGTTCATTAGAGGAACTGTTGCAGGTGGAGCACCAATCATTCCTATCTCCGCCCAATTGAAGTTCAACATCGATGCCGTCAACGAAGCTCTTGTTTCCAACATCCCTGTTCCACCAAGAGATTTCACCATGGATCCACAAATGATTGTTATTCGATCCTTCGATGTCAACAAGCCAGGTGCTGAAATTGACGAATTAAAGGGTGGTGTTGCTGGTGGAAGTATCTTGCACGGTGTCATCAAGTTGGGTGATGAAATCGAGATTAGACCCGGTATCGTTTCTCGCGACGAGAAGGGAGGTGTTAAGTGTCAACCAATTTTCAGCAGAATCATCACTCTCAACTCGGAGAACAATGAGTTGAAATACGCTGTTCCAGGAGGACTTATTGGTGTTGGTACTCGAATTGATCCAACTCTTTGCCGTGCCGATCGTCTCGTTGGTTTCGTTCTCGGTCTCAAGGGCCGTCTTCCTGATATCTACATTGAGATCGAAGTCAACTATTATCTGTTGCGTCGTCTCTTGGGTGTCAAGACTGCTGATGGTAAACAAGCTAAGGTTACCAAGCTCACCAAGAACGAGGTTCTCATGGTCAACATTGGATCTACTGCTACTGGTGCTAAGGTCATGGCTGTTAAGCAAGATGCAGCTAAATTGCTCTTGACTAACCCAGCTTGCACAAACATTGGAGAGAAGGTTGCGCTAAGTCGTCGTATTGAAAAACATTGGAGATTGATTGGTTGGGCCACTATTGCTGCTGGTGTCACTCTTGACCCAAGCACTTCTTAAGCGGGTGGATAGGTAGACGTGTGTAATATTTTCACACTTAAAAGTAAAAATTTAAGATGGAAGTAAAAAGAAGAAACGCAACGATGTATTTTGTGACGCAAGTGATGTGGTGATCTGATCTGATGGTTTGGTGGAAGGGGGAAAGAAAGGTCTCGATATCTTTGGACTCTTGGCTTTTTCTGGTCCGATCATCGTATGCATACTTAATACTCGAGGTCATGGGAGGTTGATAGATTGGGCATTCAAAAGTTACCTAACTCGATAATGAAAAGAATCTTCTTTTACAGTGTTTATGACGTGTTTGTTGATGAGTTTGGAGTAGAGTGAGTGCGGTTGAGTGATGATTCAGATTGCGTGGTTGTATGTTTGCCTGCCTGCCTAGGTGTGGAGAATGATTGAGGGATTTGTACTCGTTTTTTATCTTGAGGGCGGGAGGGTCTGCGTAGGTAGGTAGGTATGGATGAGGATGGATGGGGATGGGGATGGGATTCTCAGATATCTCGCGTAGTGGAATGGAGTGGGAGTGGGAGTGGGAGTGGGAGTGGGAGTGATGGATCAAATGAGGGTTTGGCGGTGAATGGATGGGTGATGGGTGATGGGAGCTTATGTTTTACGAATTGAATAGGGGTTGGATGGAGATAGAATTGGGATATGTGTAGAGGGTGGTCAGGATGGTAAGTTTTAAGGAGGGAGCAGTGGTGATGGGTAGTTAGGGAGGGAGGGAGGGAGATGGTGGGGTTTATTTGTTTTGTGGGTATGGTTTATGAGGGAGGGAGGGAAGTCGTTGTGTGTAGTTGGGTAGATAGATATCAGGTGGGTAGTATGGGATGGTTGCGATGGTTGTGATGGTTGTAATGGTTGTGGTGATGGGATGAGAATTATGCTATGGATTTGAATTTAGTTGTGTGATTTATTTTGAGCTGTAGTTTCTGCTTGATTGTATGGGATGGTTAGGGATGGAATGAAGATGGACATAAAGATGAAGATGAGGTAGAATAGGATGTGTATTCTAGATCTCAGGTCGATGGCTCTGTAGTTATCTACCTAGTATCGTATCTAAAAGATATACATAAACTCAAACCCTCGGTTACAAGTGGGCAGTGGATTATTTTATTATTTGCTAGTGAGATTTATACTTTGTAGATTTGGCTCGGGTCAGATGTCGGGTTAGCTAACTATAGGTCGATAGTGTGTAGATGCTTTTAGAGAGTTTTGGGGTTTGTTTGATTGGTTGATTAGTTGGTTTATTGATTGATTGGTTGATTTGTTTATAGGTATGGTTGTAATTCGAAGCTGGGGTTGAAGTTGAGATTCGCGTATAATGTAGGTAGATATGGATGGAGTACGATACTTTCAAAGGAGGATAGGAGAATAGGGGATCTGTTTGGGCTACTGCTACCTACTGGATATACTTTGATGATGTCTTTGAGTGTGGATATGGAAATTGTCCATATTGTCATTTGACTCTTGGATTCTTGTGATGGCGTGGCGTAGAATAATAAATTGTACGTGAAATAAACATGGTGTCCTGTGAGACGACACGACACCGTTGCGATTTGCATGTAACACAGTCGATATGAGTCGATCGTGGTAAATCGTAACCGAGGAGCATTTTATTTACTAAGGCATGTGTCATCAAGATATATTAGGGCCCAGTATTCATTTCAGCTAGCTCACGAAACGGGTTCGCCGTTAGTCATGTATTTCATCGGTCTTCAAAACACATCGTAGGTCAAGATGCGATGCGATGCGATATTCAACACTCGTCACCAGATATGACGCTGACTGACTGCCTTATTCTGATGCAAGACCATCACAATCCCAAGACCAAAATCATGACGCCTGCTTACTCGGGCTTTTCCAACACCCGACATCTTACTTCATTGAATGAACGATGTGGGTGAATATGAGTCAGGCCGCAAGGGATCAAAGCGAGTAATTTTCGCACCAAGAATGAATGAACACCCGGGTGGAGAATACAGGATGAACATCGGACAGCTGAATACATCCGTGTCCATGTTTCGCGGCGATTTTTTGGATCATCGCATCGGATTACGTGGGTTGTGATTGGGTGGGATGGATACGACAATTCCAAAGCGAGCTGGTTCGGTTAGGAGTCGAGAAGAATCTAGATGGAAGGAAAGGTTAGTTAGGATGAAGAGTGGATGAAAATGGGGATTTTGGCGCCTCAATTTGCCCTTTTCCTTCCCTCCCCTTGTGAGTAAGAAATTGAAATATGTGATTTTGGCTCTTTCGAGTTAATCAAAGTGACAGGTAGAAGGGGAACGAGAGGAAAGTTTTCGGAGACTTTTTCTTCTTCTTCGACTATGACTCTGGTTTCGGTATATCCTCGAAATTGAGCTCATCGGTTGATAGAGAGGTGTATGTATGTATATATATATATGTTATATTTATTCTTCATCGTCTTTCTTGCTTTCTTACCTTCTACCTTCTACCTGTATCTTATTTCTTATTAATCCAATCGATTCATAATTCCTCAAGCATCTAGTTACCCAAGACCACCCAAAAAAATAACCTTAATTGAAAAAACCAATTTTACCCCAGGATTCTTTAATTGAATTTTATATAATTGGACCTGGACCCTCTGTATCTGTCAAAGAATTCCAATTTCTTGGGTTGCCCTAGTCTACCGGACATATTTTCTTTTTGGATATTTTTATATCAATCACAAAGGCATTTTTTCAACAAGTCTCTCCAATCGGATTTTAAACATCTTCTATATCCGTTTGTTTTCGATCCTCCGTTCATTTTATTCTTTCCTCCGGTCTAAACACGGACGAGGAATCCCGCCGAATTCGTCCGTTGGCAAGGGTTTAAATACAATATACACCACTTGGAGCAGTCATTTAAAAATTCCTTCAACTACTTGAACTACCTAGGTACCTACCTACTCGAGGTGTCTTTTGCTTGTTTCTCTCGTACTTCGGAAAAGTCTCATTCGGCAAGAGAAAAGTTACACAACGGGATATCAAATGATGACAGACGAAAAGGTACCACCCACTACCAGTGCTTCGATCAGTTCTTCAAGCACCATGCACGAGAAATCCGACGTCGAACAAGCGATTCTAGCACGCGAAGCTATGAAGAAAGATGCTGAGTTGTCAGAGAAACCTTCGGAAACGATACCTTCGGTTCATGAAGGCGACAACGATAATCCTATAGAGTTGAAGAAGACAAAAAGTGCAGCAGAGATACAGCAAGAGGAGTTGAATAGAGTTCACACAAGTGCAGAGGGTGTGGAATATCCAACTGGAGTTAAATTGCAGCTGATCAGTTTGGCATTATGTTTATCCGTTTTCTTGATGGCTTTGGTAAGTTTTGTCGAGTTTCCCTAGGATCATCGTATTGTTTGTGCATGTGTGTTCTAATTGGCGAATAGGATAACTCTATTATTGCAACGGCTATTCCTAAGATTACTGATCAGTTTCACTCGTTGAACGATGTTGGATGGTACGGATCTGCATGTAAGGATCTCTACTATCTGTTTGGTTTTGCACCTCTATGGGGAAGAAACAGTTGGAAATAGAACTTGTCCACTAACATCACACCTTTAACAGACTTACTCACCACTGCTTCTTTTCAATTACTTTTTGGAAAATTCTACTCATACTTCTCGATAAAATGGGTTTACCTTGTTGCGATTGGTATCTTCGAGCTCGGCAGTTTGATCTGTGGTGTTGCACCAAATTCAATTGCGTTGATCATTGGTAGAGCAATCGCTGGCTTGGGTAGTGCTGGAATCTTCTCTGGTGCTTTGATCATTGTCGCATACTCAGTTCCATTGGTTAAGAGACCCATGTACACTGGTTTAATTGGAGCTATGTATGGTATTGCCTCTGTTGCTGGACCTCTTCTTGGAGGTGTATTCGTAAGTCTGACTTAACATTTCACTTGACGAGGACAAAAACACTGACTTGAACAGACTGATAAAGCAACTTGGCGTTGGTGCTTCTTAATCAATCTGCCAATTGGAGCTGGTAAGTCTCTCCCGAATTTTGTGAGAAAAATAATCGCTAATTATTCAATTTCTTAGTTACTGTTCTTGTCATTTTGATCTTCTTCAAAGCTCCCGATAGAGAAGCTGTTGCAGTTCTCCCATGGAGTGAACGCATAAAGGAATTCGATCTTCTCGGTACCGCATTCTTCATTCCAGCTATCATCTGTCTATTGCTCGCACTTCAATGGGGTGGAACCAAATATCCTTGGGGAAATGGGCGTATCATCGCACTTTTCGTACTTTTCGGAGTATTGATCGGAATATTCATCGCCATCCAATTCTGGAAAGGAGATAGCGCCACCGTACCACCTAGCATTATGAAGAAGCGAAGCATGTGGTCTGCCGCATGGTTCTCCTTCTGTCTCGGATCATATTTCCTCCTTTTGATCTACTATCTTCCTATTTGGTTCCAAGCTGTCAAGGGTGATTCGGCTGTCAAATCTGGTATCTCTAACATACCAATGGTGTTGACCTTGGTCATCGTCAGGTCCGTACAATCTTCTTCATTTTCACGGAACTTCATACTAACAAAATCCTCTAGTATCATTTCCGGTGCTCTTGTCACCACACTCGGTTATTACGCACCACTCATGATCGTTTCCTCAGTCATCGCAGCGATCGGAATCGGTCTCTTAACCACCTTCAAGCCGGATACTAATCACGCTGCCTGGATCGGTTACCAATGCCTCGCTGGTATCGGTATTGGTTTCGGTATGCAACAGCCCCTTATAGCCTGCCAAACCGTCCTCGACATTTCTCAAGTGCCAACCGGTACTTCAGTCATCATTTTCGTTCAAACACTCGGAGGAGCTCTATTCGTCTCTATTGGTCAAAATGTTTTCACAAATAAACTTGCCCAGAACTTGGCACATTATGTACCAGACCTCGATCCAGCAGTCGTTTTAAGCACAGGTGCTACTAGTATACAAAAAGATATCGCACCAGAATACTTGGCTGGTGTCACAATTTCTTATAATAATGCGTTGACGCAATCATTCTTGGTGGCTGCAGTTATGGCTGCACTTACCATTATTGGCAGTTTGGCCATTGAATGGAAGAGTGTTAAGGGAAAGAAGATTGAAATGGCTGCTGCTTAATTCCTGATTTGAGCCGGGTTTCAATTTCATCGTTAAAACTTCACGTTTACGGCTTGCATTTTAGATCGTGAGGGATGGGGATGATCTTTTTTTGGATGTGCTGCATTTTTTTGCGTTGTACTATATACCCCTTTGGCGTTTGGGAAGAAAGATTTGGCCACATGGCTATCGCTTACGAGGTGAAATGAGGGTAGCTCACTTGGCTCCTTCTACTCATATGACACATGAGATAGGGGTTAAGTGTCTGAAATGTTGGAAGATTTGATAGATAATGGATGAATGCATAGATGGATGATGGAACATGAAATATGTATAAATGGAGAGATAGATGAAGGGGGCAGCAATTAACTCTACTACTTATATTAATCAATGGAAAGATACATTAATCTTAATCATTTGTTATCTATTTCAAATCTCGTTATCGGAATGTATGTGCTGCGTGTTCTAAGTACACTACTCTGTTCATTTCTCCTGCTTTCTCTAGGTACTTCAAATCGATCGCCTAAGCAGCCGATTTTGTCATACAGTACCAATAAACCAACTTATTTCTTAGCCGAAACGCTAGTACGAGCCATCTGCACTTCTCTCCAATACCAACAACCCACCAATGCTGCTCCGGGCCCAACAACCACATTCGCAAGAAGCAATAGAACAGCTGCTTTGCCGATATCGATGGTGGTTCGTCCTACGCGTTTGATGTCCCATACTGCGTTGCAGCACATGATGTAGGTTGCGAGGTGGAAGGACCAGAAATTGATGAGGTAGTAGGTGTGTAGAGGAGTCGAGGGAGTGGAATTGGAGAGGAAGATGGAGGTGAGAGAGAAGATAGGGTTGGGAGAGAGGAGGATATAGATGAGGGTTGAGATGTGGAGGAGGAGACCGAGGATGAAGGTTGTGAGGTAGAGGGTGCGGAGGGGAGGATGTCGGTGGGGGTGTGGGATGCGGTGGGGGTTGCGGTTGGTGGGGGAGTGAGTTTTTTGAGGATGATGCTGCTGAGGAAGGTGAGGAGGGTGGTGAGGGGGGGGAGGAGGGGGAAGAATTTGTAGAGGGTAAGAGTGAGGGTGGGAGATTGCGAGGGGAGGAAGAGGAGGAGCGTGGGAAGAACGTAGCAGAGGAGGAGGCAGGGGAGAATGGCTTTCATGTAGTGAGCTGGGACGAGACGGGAGAGCGGCCACCAGTAGGGTTCGGCGTTGGAGAAGAGGGTGTAGGCGGTGCAGAAGATGGGGGCGATGATGCCGAAGCCGAGGTATTGGGATAGGGCGAGCCAGATGGTTGGGCTGGGTGATGTTAGTTTTTTTCTTTTTCATCTTTTTTTTTAAAAAAAATGTGGAAAAGGAGAGAGGGAGGGAGGGAAAGAGAATTCCTTACACAGCCACGAGGTTCATGTCATTACGCTTGCGACAACCCTCCACCAACCAAATAGCCAGCGGCTGAACCAACATTCCATAAAAATACGTGCTCAAAACCCCCAATCTCGCATCTTTCTCCGCCGCGCGTCTCGGACTCCTTAGAATCCCGGCAAACTCCTCCGCTAACCCCGCGTTCTTCGAATGCGTCCACATCCCGTAATACGCGCACGCCGCCAGCGCCATATAAACCGCCATTTGCAGCCACCCGGTCACCCCGCGCAATTCCGGGGCTTTTATCAATTCATCTTTGTACGGGATGAGTTTTGGACGGGGCGGAAGCTCAACCATATCTAATTTCTCCGCGTACGGCTGGTTTCCCGAGAAATTAAACATCACGTCTTCGGTATCCGTGATGGGCAAGAGAGTCAGGGCGATGAATTTGTGGAGACGATCTTCCATAGCCTCGGTGGACTGTTGCTCATGCGATGCATCTTTCAGAATCGTCGCGCGCGTTTCACGCAGCGCTTGGAGATCCGCGAACATTTTTGTGAATTGGGAAGTTGTGGGTTTCGGGGAGATTTTCAGTAATTTCACGAGCGAATTGACAAACGCGGCGGAAGATTCGAAGGCAGAGTTCCCGCCGTGGCCACCGATGGGATTAAATTTATGCGCGGAATCACCAATCGTGATGATGCGCTCGAAATGCCACTTTTTGTAGACGTATTCGGGGAGCGCGGTGAGGGCGGAGGAGATTTTGCGGTCTTGCAGGACTTTGAAGGTGATTTCGGGGGTGATGGGGTCGTTTTCGTGGGCTTTGAGGACGGCGGCTTCGTCGGCTTTGGTATAGCGGGGGATATCGCGGCCGTAGAGGGTGGTGGGGTGTTTGAAGAAGTAGAACCAGTAGACGCGGCCTTCGGGGCCGCCGTTGATGAGGTAGGAGCTTTTCTCGCGAAATACGGAGTGTAGGTTTCCAGGCTCGAGGCCGGGGATCGGGTTGGAGATGCCGAAGATGCAGCTGTAGTCGCAAGGGAGAGCTGGGGTGGAGTTAGTTGAGGGGTTTTAAAGTATTTGGAGAGAAGAAAGTGTTGTGTGTTTAGTGTGAGAGCTGGGTATGATTAATGTTTGAAACTTGACTTTCTGATAGGGTGCGAAATAGTCTGGACTAGCAAACTAGATCTGAGCTTCCATCATACGAAAGCAACTCCACAAATGAAGTGCATTCAACATTGCAAATCATCTAAATATTCTGGTAGGACTCAGGACACAAAGAAGCTTTCATTGCCTGACCGCAGTCTAGACCATTGGAAACCCCGCTTCCAGATATGTTTCGAACCCAGGGCAATGAAAAACCACCGTATTGCAAAAACCAATGAAGAAATAAAGACCTACCACTGTCTTCCTCAGCAGGGATGTAGCCCGGAATTTTCTCTTCAGCCAGCCTCCACATTTCCAATCTAGTTTTGCTATGAATCCCATCACCACCAACTAGTATATCACCTGTGAATTTCGATCCGTCCGCCATGATTGCTTTGACGCCCTTCTCATTCATTTCGATCTTCGTCAGACGCTTCTCGGTTAGAACCTTGGACTTATCCCTAATATTATCATACAGCACCTTTAGCACCGCCTGTCGATCGAGAAATAAAATAGGATATCCATGTCTATACTATGTCAGAACATACTCTAGTTTTCCAAACAGCACCCGTATGCATCTAGATATGTATGCAGGTATTTACCTCTGTTCGAAAGAATGTCTCATTCCCGAATGACCCGCGATTCTCTCGCCCTTGCTATTGCGAAAATTGAACCGCTCAACCGGAGGCGCTAGTCCCAGAATCTTGTCAAATAATCCCAATTGGTCGAGGATTCGGTTGCCATTAGGAAGCAATCCTATGCTAGCCCCAACTTGGGGCGCTATGGCCGGGTAGGCCTCCAGAATGACAAAATCGATTCCGTTCAGCTGAAGCATGTTGCCCAACACGAGACCAGCCACACTGCCTCCAATAATAACCACTCTGAATGGGGTTTTGTCGGCCATCTTCACAGCTGTCTGTTAAGGTAATCTGTATCGTCGTATATAGTGATCGTCAATGAAAAAGGAAGTTGGTGGAACTTTCTTTTTCTGCAAATGCAAAGAAAGATCAAAGCACTTCTATATACTTGTCCCGTCAGGAAGTACACGGCTCCGGAGTTGAAAAAGGAAGATATATCCTAGTGTAGTTTACTATCGCGTAGCGAGTGCAGAATAATAATAATAAAGTACTTCTATATACTTGTCCTGCCGGAAAGTATACAGCTCGGGATTTAGGAAAGCAAGATAGTTCCTGGTGTGATTTACTGTTGCATAGCGAATGCAAAGAAAGATTGAAGTACTTCTATATACTTGCCCCGTCAAAAAGATTACACAGCTCCGGAGCTAGGAAATAAAACCATTCCTAGTGTGGTTTACTATCGCGTGGCATGTGCATTAGATAGCTTCGAAGCTGCATGCGTTCTGGCTGTGAGTACTTGGGAACATTGTAACTCTCAGATTATTTGTTGGACCAGGTCACCACGTGGAGACAAATTCATGTTGTTCATATAGACAAGAGCCCTGATGCTTGGACAATAATGGGCCGCTCTGCATACTCACCATTTAGACAGATAAGAAAGTAAATTGTGGCATCCTACAGACGTCTTGGCTCCTTGCATAATTCAAGAATAAGACTTTGCTCTTACTTAGGCATCCCAGAGCCCGACAGTATGGTCCATACGGTAGATAACCGGCAAAATATCACCCAAGATGATATGATATATCAAATATGCAACCCACCTATGTTCTGCTACCGCCATAAATCAAAAGTATGCTTCGCTTCCACCTACCCTGTCAATATTCTTTAGCTGTCCAATCACATTATCGACTAGACATTCATTTGGAGAACAAGCTTCCGGGAATTCAACGGAGATCATCTCAAAAGTGGATAGTGGATAAATAAGTGGAGTGGTACAACGAAACGTAGTACAATTCTCTCCCTGTCGACCGAACCACATTCATTAGAAAAGAATATGAAGATGTATTCTCAAGGAACAATACTCCACACTCTCCACTCCCGAATCCTTTGAAACGGTTTCTGACTGCATGAGGAAAGGGATAGACGTTGATAAAAGTGAACGAGTTCTGAATTGAACGAAAGCAAGGTGACAATGGAACAACTTGTAACATCCATGGGTATTACTACACGAAACGTTTGTGTTGCCCCGTACCCTATATACCTTACTCGGGGCAGGTGTTCCGAATATGAAGCATTCCTAAATAGGGCTTGCTCGGCTCATCGACCCCATGGTGTGTGGTCTGACGAGGACGAAAGAGGACATCAATATTTGACCCCTGGCAAACCGACATCAAGGTTTCTTACCCTGCATGAAAAATTGTTGGTAGTTATATGACCCCCACATGAAAATAAGATTTTCGCCGTTTGATGATCTCTTCCTCTTAGACATGGTGGTCGTCTATAGCTCTCGACAATACTTGAGCAGTTCGTTGTGTTAGGTGGTAAGGCGTGCACAGATGAATGCTGTGTATCCGTTCGCGGTATAATTTTGCTTTTTAAACTTTTGAGGTTTACAACAAGAACCGCAAATATGGAACCTCAGCCTGACCCTCAGGGTTTTGCTCTGGAAGGCTCGACTTTAAAGAACGTCCTCACTCCTAAGACCTACAACCTCTCTGGTGCAGCTTATTACATTTCACTCGGAATTCAGTATCTTCATGACTCCGGCAGTTGTGCTATTCAATTGTTCTTTTCGTAGCGTCGTTTCTGAGATCAACGTCATCAAAAGAGTGCCGGTGGTGTGCTGAGCACATATTAGGCCATCATGGTTCTGGAACAGAGGGCTCTTACAATTGCCATTGTCAATTTTGTGTTTCTTGGACTATCGACGATAACATTAGCATTGCGATGCTTTGTTCGGGTAACGCGTGAAGCGTTCGGCTTGGACGATTGGATGATAGTGCTGGGATGGGTATATAGAGTACCACTTTCTCATAGTTTGGCGAGTTTGCTAATTTGATATAGATCATGTTCGTGGTGAATGTCACCATGTCGACGATGTCCGCAATCCACGGCCTGGGTGTTCATAATCTTACTATTACTGCCGCAGAAATGGAGCCTGCAGTCAAGGTTAGTAATACATGCGGATAGTGGTATTGAAATTAAGGTTACTAATTAAAGAGAACAGTACTTTACTATCTTCCAAATTTTCACCTTGACAGGTACATTGCCAGTCAAAGCTAGCATCTGCATCTCCCTAATGCGCATAACACCCAGCCTGACCTACAGAAAAATCCTCTACGCAATCATGGCAGGGTCCGTAGCGACAGTCATCATTTCCGACATCGTTGTTATTGTAACATGTCGACCCATGGCATTTACCTGGGACAAAACCATTCCCGATGGGAAATGCAGCAGTATCAATGCTATCCTCATCCTAAGCTATTGTTTCTCGGCCATGAACATCATCACCGACTGGTCTACTGCCCTTATCCCCGCATTCATAGTATGGAACTTGAAACTCTCTCCCAGAATCAAAGTCGCCATCAGTGTTCTCTTAGGAATGGGTATGTTCGCTAGCATAGCCACGATAATTCGTGTCAAATACTTTCCCAACTATGCAAAAGCAGTTGACTATCTCTATGGCGTGGCTCCCATCGTCTGGTGGTCTACCATTGAAATCGGTTTAGGAATAATAGCAGCATGTCTCAGTGCTCTCAGACCATTACTCCGTTTTGCTTTAGGAAACGGTTCTTATGGCCCCTCAGACAATAGACCCAGTCCTCCAACCATTGCAACATCTCATAAAAAAGGCTACATGAAAGCTCGCGCCATCAGGTTACGGAATATTGAAGACGGTCTTGCAACGACAATCGTTACGGGAGCTGGGAACGACACTGCAGATAATTATAACGAAAGCATAAATGCTAGCGATGGGGATAAGAGTAGTCAAAGAGGGATATTACAGCATATTCCAGAGCACCCCGAACCAAAATGTACCGGGAAGGAAGTAGGTATTTTGGTTACGCAAAGTTATAAGATTGAGGGTGAGGACACTGAAGACAATGTCTCTAAAAATAGAGGTTGTAAATACAATGGTAGCAATGAGTCAAGGGAACGAACAATACAGAATATAGTATAAGTATAGCTTATGACGGCAGGCTACGTGCCATACTTGCAATGACATTGGCGGAATGGAATATTTTGTGAGTATAGGGATCTGTAAGAATTTGACTTGTAACAGGGACGATGATTTGAGTTTTGATTGTGTATCAGAGGTTGTTGCTGAGTATCTTGAAGCTAGAGAAACCCCCAGAACTATCCGAAAACCTAAAATTATCTCAACAATTCATCCAACTCGGATGCTGCATAAATCGAATACACTTGACTGGTGGTTGACAAACTTGTCTGCGTGGTCTGCTTGATAGTGGAACAGAGCAAACGCGAAAAGAAAACAATGATGAGGTAAAGTTGTGTACATATGCCGTTTTTGAAGCCGATAACATAGCGAAAATGAACAATCTGCTGAGAATCGTGTCATGCCAAATAAACTTATCGCATAAAGTGATTGCTTATTTATCAAGCAAGCAGCTTTATCAATCTGTAAACATACAAGAATGCTGCTCCGGGTGGCCCGGGGATTGCCACTGGTATATCCATAGCTTCATTACTAGAAGCCGAACCTTGTGGAACACAGTCGGGAGCCGCCTTAGGTGTGAAAGCGAATCATTGTATTTTGAAAACTTTCAGAAAGATTGACAGCTTCATCGTTGCTAAAATGAGTGTTGACGTAAAATTGAACGCGGGTAAAAAAAGGTCGTGCCCCTTGGATACTATATCATGTGACGCGGCTGGCATGAACGACTAAAACGGATTAGCGCGTTCCTTGCTCACTGATCCAGCCGTTTACAATTGTCGTCGTCGCAAGTGACAAGGCCAGTTTTAGAAGCAATACAACCACATATCCTCTCCACATTTCAAATCTCATATTCCGCAACATCCCCTGAGTCTGGGTATTTCTCAAATTCTCTTAATTAATTTCCACAACATTTGTACTTTCAAGCTTCCGTTTGTATTTAATTGAGCACGTTTCTGGGTAAACAGCGCCTCTCTGCGCAGATAGCTTGCCCACTACATTGGGTCAACAATTAAATAAGGCCATTCCTTTGATCGCATAGAGTCAGAGAATCAGTAAATATGGCTCCATTACCAATCAAGTTTACGGAGCTTCTCCAGGTATGATATGAGTTGTGCGATGATGGGATTGTTGACTTGTGTTTACTGACTTTAATTTAGTTAACAAGTGTCGGGGTTGAGGTATGTACCAGCCACAACACAGCTATTCTCACCAGCTTCTGCCATAACAACTTCAGCTTCAAACATCCAATCCCGATCTCGCTTGCTAACAATTAATCCTGTAGGCACAATCGATAGGTTTTAATTCATGTGTAAGTAATTCCGTAATTTTGAATTGAGCTTTGGGCATGTGTTGACTACTCGAATAGACACTGGAGTCAGATTCCTACATCTGCGTACGAGAAAAGAAGAATGAAGCTGCACAACCAGAAGTCGTCATCGTTGATCTAAAGCAGAACAATGCTGTCACTCGAAGACCTATTAAGGCGGATAGTGCCATTATGCACTGGTCGAAACAAGTCATCGCATTAAAGGCACAATCAAGGACCTTACAGATATTCGACCTGGGCGCCAAGGCAAAGCTGAAGTCTGCTACCATGAATGAAGATGTTGTCTTCTGGAAATGGTTCAGTGAGACAAGCTTGGGATTGGTTACTGATACAACAGTTTACCACTGGGATGTATTTGACCCAAATCAGGCATCCCCGGTAGAGGTCTTCAAGAGAAATCCAAACCTTGCTGTGAGTCCTATTTATTTCTGAGAGAAGGAATGGTATTAATGTTATGCTAGGGATGCCAAATTATCAACTATCGTGTTAGCGGCGATGGAAAGTGGATGGTAGTCGTAGGCATTACACAACAACAAGGACGAGTGGTAGGAGCGATGCAACTTTATTCAAAAGACAGAGGTATCAGTCAGGCTATCGAAGGTCACGCGGCAGCATTTGGTACATTACGATTGGAATCGGCCCCAGCAGATACAAAGGTATTCACATTTTCGGTTCGGACTGCTACTGGCGCAAAGCTACACATAGTTGAGGTCGACCACCAAGCTTCAAACCCAACATTCTCGAAGAAGGCAGTCGATGTATACTTCCCTGCTGAAGCCGTGAACGATTTCCCAGTTGCAATGCAAGTTTCACAAAAATACAGCATTATTTACTTGGTTACCAAATACGGCTTTATTCACCTTTACGATCTTGAGACTGGTACATGCATTTTCATGAACCGTATCTCGAGCGAGACGATTTTCATCACAGCTGGCGATTCGGAGTCTGCGGGACTTGTTGGTGTTAACCGAAGAGGACAAGTATTGTCGGTATCTGTTGATGAAACGACAATTATTCCATACCTCCTCCAAAATCCTGCAAACTCTGGTTTAGCCGTTAAGCTTGCTTCAAGAGCTGGTCTACCTGGTGCGGACAACCTCTATGCCAACCAATTCGAGCAACTTTTGGCTGCAGGAAACTACTCTGAGGCATCAAAGATCGCTGCAAACTCTCCTCGCGGCTTCTTGCGAACCCCACAAACTATCGAACGTCTTAAGAATGTACCGGCTGTACCAGGCCAGCTATCTGTCATCTTGCAATACTTTGGTGTATTGCTTGACAAGGGATCGCTGAATAAACACGAGACTTTGGAGCTTGTACGACCTGTCTTGGCCCAGAACCGAAAGCATCTCCTTGAAAAGTGGATGAAGGAGAACAAGCTTGACTGTTCCGAAGAATTAGGTGACATTGTCCGTCAACAAGATACACAGCTTGCACTTGCTATCTATCTCAAGGCAAACGTTCCTCACAAAGTTGTTGCTGCTTTCGCAGAGAGTGGCCAATTCGAGAAGATCTTACCCTACGCCCAACAAGCAGGTTATCAGCCAGACTATGTCCAACTACTTCGCAACATCATCTCCATCAACCCCGAAAAGGGAGCCGAGTTCGCTACACAGTTGGCAAACACCGAGGGTGGTTCACTTGTCGATATTGAGCGTGTTGTAGACGTATTCCAGTCTCAAGGAATGGTTCAGCCTGCTACGGGATTCTTGCTTGATGCATTAAAGGAAAATAATCCAGAGCAAGGACACTTGCAAACTCGTCTTCTTGAAATGAATCTCATGAACGCCCCTCAAGTTGCCGACGCCATTCTTGGTAATGAGATGTTCTCACACTATGATAAGCCTAGAATCGCACAGTTGTGTGAACAAGCTGGCCTTTCTCAAAGAGCTTTGGAGCATTATGAAGACCCTGAAGCCATCAAACGCGTAATTGTCAATATTGTTGCTTCACCAACTTTCAGTCAAGAATGGCTCACTGGTTACTTTGGTCGCTTGTCCCTTGAGCAGTCATTAGACTGTCTAGATGCTATGCTCAAGGTAAACATTCGTCAAAACCTTGCGGCTGTTGTTCAAATCGCCGTCAAATACTCCGATTTACTCGGTGCTGTCAGATTGATTGATCTTTTCGAGAAGTACAAGACTGCCGAGGGTCTCTACCACTATCTTGGTAGCATTGTCAACTTGAGTGAAGATCAAAACGTCGTGTTCAAATATATTGAGAGCGCCGCCAAGATGCAGCAATTCAACGAGGTGGAACGTATTTGCAGAGATTCCAATTTCTACAATCCTGAACGCGTGAAGAACTTCTTAAAGGAAGCCAAATTGACCGAGCAATTGCCACTCATCATCGTCTGTGATCGATTCAACTTCACTCACGAGTTGGTACTCTACCTCTATCAAAATCAACAATTTCAATCTATCGAGGTCTATGTTCAGCGTGTGAACCCAGCCCGAACACCTGCTGTTGTTGGTGGTTTACTTGATGTTGACTGTGATGAGCAAATTATCAAGAACCTTTTGAACTCAGTCAATCATGCTTCCATCCCTATCGATGAACTTGTTCATGAGGTTGAAACACGAAACCGTCTTAAGCTTCTGTTGCCATTCCTTGAGGCAACCTTGGCTGCAGGCAACCAGCAACAAGCAGTCGTAAACGCGATGGCCAAGATCTATATTGACAGGTGTGTTCACTGCCCCATCATGCATGGACATTGTAGCTAACACCAATTCTTTTAGTAACAACAACCCCGAAGCGTTCCTGAAAAATCCTGCAAACAACTACGACACATTGGTGGTTGGGTAAGTCTCCGACACTGATTTACATTCTTTATATGCTAACCAGTTCAAGTTCGTATTGTGCTTCGAGAGATCCTGGACTCGCTATTATTTGTTTCATGAAGGGACAGAACGATCTCGAGCTTGTTAATATCACCAATGAAAATTCCATGTACAAGGCTCAAGCTCGCTATCTCTTGGAGAGAGCTGATCGAGAGCTTTGGGAGTTTGTTCTCTCGGAAAATAATATACACCGCCGATCAGTCATTGATCAAATTATCTCTACAGCTGTTCCCGAATCAACTGAACCCGAAAAGGTCTCTGTAGCAGTTGCGGCTTTCCTCAGTGCTGATCTTCCGGGTGAACTAATTGAGTTGCTCGAAAAGATTGTCCTCGAGCCTTCGCCCTTCAGTGACAATGAGAGCTTGCAAAATCTTCTCATTCTCACCGCTACTAAAGCTGATAAGGGTCGAGTCATGGATTACATCCACAAATTAGACGCATTCAACCCAGCGGATGTAGCTTCTATCTGTATTGAAGTTGGCTTGTATGAAGAAGCATTCGAGGTTTACAAGAAGATCAACGACCACACTAACGCTGCAAATGTACTCGTTGAGCACATTGTCAGTATCGATCGTGCGAACGATTATGCTGAGAAAGTGGAGCTTCCCGAAGTATGGAGTAGGGTCGCCAAGGCTCAACTGGATGGTCTACGTGTAAGCGATGGTATTGCCTCATATATTCGCGCCGATGATCCAAGCAATTACCTCGAAGTCATTGAAATTGCAACTCATGCTGGAAAGGACGAGGACCTTATCAAATATCTTCGTATGGCCCGCAAGACTCTTCGTGAGCCTGCCATTGACACTGCACTTGCTTTTGCATATGCTCGTACCGATCAACTCAGCGAACTCGAGGACTTCCTCAGAGGAACCAATGTCGCTGATATCGAAGAGTCAGGTGACAAGGCATATGCTGAAGGCTTCCACCAAGCCGCGAAGATTTTCTTCACTAGTATTTCAAACTGGGCCAAACTTGCCACCACCCTCGTTCATCTAGAGGAATACCAATCTGCTGTGGAATGTGCCCGAAAGGCCAACAATATCAAGGTCTGGAAGCAAGTTAACGCTGCTTGTGTTGAAAAGAAGGAATTCCGCCTTGCCCAGATTTGTGGTCTCAATTTGATTGTTGATGCTGAGGAGTTACAAAACTTGGTCAAGCAATACGAAGATAATGGTTACTTTGATGAACTCATTGCTCTGCTTGAGCAAGGTCTAGGTCTTGGTACGTTCTTTCCTCAATTTCTAATTACTCTTTCCTCCATTGCCAGTTCTTTCCTTCTTACCCTCCGTCCTTTCCTTCCCCGACTCAGTGAGTCAAAATAATGAAGAATGAGAAGTTCTTCGCTCATCTTTTCTTCATCCTCAACCCTTTTTCAGTGAACGGATCAGGACCGTTGAAGTCTTCATTTTATTCAATCCATCGACGCCGGTAAAACCCTTAACCTACTCCAACCTTCATCATTGCGACGTAATCGACCGTGTCGTTTGTTACCATGGCCTCAATCCACGAGTACATCTTGTGGGTAAGTTGGGGTTTTCTGTCTTTGGTCCTCCCCTCAATCAAGAACCCGACACACGACATATTCTTTCCCGGCGAAAATGTCATGGAGAATCTGCTAGCAGGATTCACCTTCGCTAGTGGCCTTCTAGATGTTCTTCGGTCTAATGAGGCACCTAAAATCGAATTCTTCAACGCCTCCCTGTGGAAATTGATGGGCTATGGGGCATATACCTCATTCTGCTTGAGAAAGCTGGCTCAACGCCGAAGATTTATATTGGTTCTGCAACAGATATCAGGCGAGGCTTGAACATTAGATTCAGGCATTACAAATACATCGATCGGCTTCCTCAACTTGTCAATGAATCATTCTACGACGGCTATACCATTACACATAAAGGTGTGCTGTGTTGGACTGCTCTTCCAGATGCCTCAAATCGAATCCAACTCCGCTCACTCTGCTTAATTTTGGAGTCTGTGTTCTCTCTTGTTCTATGGGCCATGTCATCTCGAGATAAAACTTATGGTGTACCTTCTCTGCGTTCCTGGCCCGTTGAAACTTTCTCATATGAAGGCTGTTGTACCCATTGTTCCATCGGTGAAGGCATTAGGGGCGAGTATGATGGTCTTACTGCGGAACAGATTGTTGTCAAGGAAGCTCAAAGAGAGGCTAGAGCTAAGGAACAAGAAAAGCGTTTGCGTCTAGCATACTATGCGAGACGTGATGCAAAAGACTTTGAAGGCTGGCGACAACGAAAGAGAGCACAACTTAGAAAAAGCAATAAGAAAACCAAAGCCGAGAAAAAGTACCTTTGCGAACCCTGCAACTTCGCCTTTCAGAGTCAAACTGCTCTGGACATTCACAAAACTAGAGCCATTCATCTAGACAAAGTCAACGGTGGCAGAGTGTACAAGTATCCTGATCAAAAACGCAGACTTGACGCTATCAAAGCTGCCAAAACACACTATTGCACCATCTGCGAGATAGCTTTCGGATCAAAGTCCCAGCTAGACACCCACCTTACGGCATCTAGACATAAGAGTAGAGCTGCTGAAGCTTCCTCTTAATCCCTATCTTACCGGCGATTCGAATTTTGGTCCATTTTCCTTATGTTTCAACATCTACAACTAATCACTAACACTTCGATTCAATGTACTAATACATTTATATTTATAGAGAGAAGTCACATGGCGATGTTTACTTCATTGGGCGTTGCCCTTTCCAAATATCACCCAGACCGCACAATGGAGCACTTAAAGCTCTTCTGGAGCAGAATCAATATTCCCAAGGTAATTCGTGCTTGCGAGGAAGCTCACCTTTGGCCCGAGTTAATTTTCTTGTACTGCCATTATGATGAGTGGGACAATGCCGCTCTTGCAATGATGGAGAGAGCTGCCGACGCATGGGAGCATCACTCATTCAAGGATATCGTTGTCAAGGTAGCAAATTTGGAGATCTACTACCGCGCTCTAAACTTCTATCTTCAAGAGCAACCATCCCTCATTACCGATCTTCTTCAAGCACTCTCGCCAAGAATCGACGTCAACCGTGTTGTCAAGATGTTCGAAAAATCTGACAACATTCCTCTCATCAAACCCTTCCTTCTTAACGTTCAGACTCAGAACAAGAAGATTGTCAACAGTGCCATCCATGACTTGTTGATTGAAGAGGAAGATTACAAGACCCTTCGTGATTCAGTCGAGAATTACGATAACTATGATGCCGTCGAGCTTGCTCAACGATTAGAGCGTCACGATTTAGTCTTCTTCCGTCAAATTGCTTCCAACATTTACCGCAAGAACAAGCGCTGGGAGAAATCCATTGCTCTTTCAAAACAAGATAAGCTTTTCAAAGATGCAATTGAGACTGCTGCTATTTCTGGCAAGGGAGACGTTGTTGAGGAGTTGCTTAGATATGTAAGTTCAATGTGTTATCCAATTCTTTCATTCCTTTGCTAATTATTTTACTAGTTCGTTGATATCGGTAGCCGTGAATGTTATGTTGGTATGCTCTATGCTTGCTACGACCTCATTCCTGTCCATGTTGTCATGGAAATTTCATGGCGTCATGGTCTTACCGACTTTACTATGCCATTCATGATCAACTACTTGGCCCAACAAAGTTCTACAATCGCTGAGCTGAAGAAGGATAATGAGGAAAGAAAGTTGAAAGAGAAGTCACAAGTTCAGGAAGAGGACAACACTCCAATTCTTGGAGGTAATCGTCTAATGATCACCGCTGGACCTACCGGACGTGCATCCCCAGCCCAGTTCGGTCACACTAATGGATTCGCACCACAACCAACAGGTTTTGGAGGATTTTAGATGATGGTGGGGGATGAAAAACGCGTTTATACATAATGATATTGCATCTGGGTTGTAACTTTTTCTTCATTTTTTCATCAGGTCTGGAATTTCATGAAGATTTGCATCTTGGTACATTCCCATGATGATGTAATTGTATGCTTGGTGCAGCATTTACTGGGTGGAAATTTTTTCCTTGTTCAATGGAGGACTCACCATGTTTGTAACTGATAGTTTGAGGAGCGTTGATGGATTGGTCTGCTTTTATTAGATTCTCTGATGTATCTCTGAACAGTATGAGAAAATTAAAAGCTTGTTTTATAAAGTCTTGATATTGAATGGAGTGAAACCAAAAGTGCCGTCCCGTTGATCCCGCCTTGGTATTATGTAGAGGTCCTATTTGTAGATTAAAGTGAGACTGCAGCCTGGATTATGGGAAACCCTGTCGCCACCACATTCCCTACCCCCTCATTGGATGTTCAACAGCAAATTCAATATTCGAAATAAATTTATTGATGCAAACTCTTTGAATGTGCTAATTGGAGTCATAGATTCAAAGTCCTTGAATGTCCTAATTGAATTCATAGATTCAAACTCTTTGGATGTTCTAAGTGTATTCCAGCGTACAAACGTCTTGGACGGCCCGACTAGAATCAGATCTCCACACGGTTTGGATCGACGAAATGGATTCACGCATTCCAAACCTTATAACGATGCCAAGTCTTGCGCATGTCCTCATTAGGTTCGAAGATCCAAAGTGTGGTTTTTCCGAAGACTTGGATTGTTTTTTTGTGATTTGCAGATTGGAGATTGGAGATTGAAGAAATCTAGAGCGGATACGATGTGATGTGGTGTGATGTGATGTTCTGCATTGGGATTTGGGTGTGATGAGGTGGGTGGGCCAAGCATGCCAATTCTGCAAGAGGGTTTCACGATGTTACTGAGGCATTTTGATGGGTGTTTTTAGTTTTTCTGGATGGATCTTGGGAGGGATCTTGGAGATTTGGAGATTTGGAAGATGGAGGGAGGGAGGGGAGGGGGGTTTGGAGGGTTGGGGCGGGTGTTTTGATGGGGTGGGTTGGTGTTTTGATGTGCCAAGTTGCTTGGGGAGGGCTATGACACCGGGTATGCACCGAGAGTTTAGGGGTCTGGATGGGTTGTTTTTGGTAGGTTTGGTTTGGTTTAATAGGTTTGATAGGGTGTTTGGTGTGGAAATCAAATATTTACAAAGTAGGCTCGAGGTAGGTACGCGCATCTAGAGAATCTGGAATCAAGGCTTGGCGGCTTCGAGACAGATTGGCGTGCCGGCTTGGCGGGGTTGGGAGGTTCGTGAGATGGCGAGGATGGGAAGGGATGCGACGCTGAGAGGCTTGGGTGCTGGGGGGCTTGGGAGTAAAGGTAAGGTAGGGTAAGCGTAGAGTGGTATTTTGGGTGGGAATTTTGAGGGAGAGAGGGGAGGGGGGAGGGGAAAAGGGTTTGAAGGAGGAATGGATGTTGGAGTTGGATGTTGCGGCTGCAGTTGTGGTTGTGGTTGATCGTTTGGAAAAGTTTCGGACAATTAGATAGCGAATTGTTTAATGCTGTAACGGTAACATACCGGTAATCTGCCAGCTTGGTTGAGTCTAGACTAGACTACAGGATTCACAGCTCGATACTAGATAGAACGATCGATACCCAAGGTAAATCACATAGCCTCGGGAATATGGAGAGAGACAGAGGGCGATATCGCTTGTGAGGTTGTATTGTATTTGTGAAAAAAGTTTGATGATCAGGTTTTGGGATTAAATTTTGGGGGGGGGGAAGAGTCACACTGGGTATGGATGAGTAACTCCTGTGCGTGGAGCGGAAATATTCAGGTTCAGCGCCGGCGGCCGATTGTGTGCCGAGCCGCGGTTTGGTTCTTGGTCCTTGGGTGTAGGTGTGTAGTAGGTATGTCACTGTTTTGAGAATCGAGATTGGAGAATTCCTTGTTACTCCCCACCACATTTTTGGGCCCCACGAGTGAAATGGGATTGGTAAGTTACCTGAGAGGTGTTTGTTTGTTTGTTACAGGGTTAGCAGGTATCTATTTCTATTAGTTGTTACGCGAGAGACGGAAAAATCATGATGGTTTGCCGTGTGGGATTATTGGGAGACGGGAGATGGGAGATGTGAGATGAGATGAGATGGGATGAGGGATAGATGGATGGAAATGGGAGGACGCGTGGGAGAATGATGAATGGGGGATGGGACTGCGATAATCGGAAGTGCATGCGAGGACGGAGCGATGCAATGGGTGAAGGGATGGATTGATATCGGTTTGTATTGAATGGGGGGTTATTGGTAGGAGGTGTATATCCCACGCGGCTGGATGGCTAGATGGCTGGTGGTTGATGTGTGTGGTGTATGTGTGTGTGGGAGGTGGGATGGGATGTGTTGTGGAGGGGTAGACGCGGAGAAATGCATATGTAATATGTATGTATGTATGTATGTATGGTGAACGGGACTCATTTCGAGGTAGGTAGGTAGGTGGGTAGGGACCTTGCTGGTTTGTATGATTCTTGAAAGGATACTTCGTGGACAGATAGATGGGAAGATGGAAAGATACATTTCGCTTCTATGGTTGTTTGATGAAGGGGTACCTACGTACGGGCAATTATGAAAATCGATGTACCTACCATGGCGTACCATAGTTCAAGGGAAGAATTTTGTGATTGTTGTAGTCTCTCTATTACATACTTGATTGCTATGGTGTTATCATAGTTAGGTAACTAATACGATATACAATTGAATCACATTTTTCCAATTGCACAAACGAATTTGGATTTGATATTGATATTATTCCTAGTTGACGATCTGAATCAGAGGATTATCGTGCTGATGTGATTGGTTCGGGACTTGGGACGCTTAGATCGGTCAAAACACAGGGTAGACATTTCCGAGTGTTTTAGGTTTTGGATGATGGTTGATGGGTGATGGATTGATGGATTGATGGATTGATGGATGGATTGATGGGTGATGGGTAATGGAATGATGGACAGATGGGTTAATGGATTAGATTCTGGTTTGTAAAATTATAATATATTAATGTTCAGATGCAACATCGCAAAACGGTAGTTGTATATCCAAATAGTCTGCCTCCACGGCAGTGGCCCTCGGAGAGCCAGCGGAGCGTCATTCAATCCGATCATTAAAAAGTGATTTAACTTTCTCCATTTACGTATCTAGGTATTGTGGTATTGAGGTATTGTGGTATTGTGATGAACGGTCGGTCGGTCAATTCCATACGGACGTGAAAGTTAAAGTGATAATGGTGGGGTTAATGTGTGAATGTGTGAATCTGTGTACTCCGTCTAAAAGTAACAATTAACAATTGATATGTTCATTAAGGTTAACCAGGTACTCGGACTGCTTCAATAATAGACAGAAACTAACATTCATCTTCATCTTATTTACCACCGACTGTACGATCATTAGTATTTCAACTAATCAATCAAGCCTTTTTGAAATCACAAGAAGTATCAAAACATGAATGAGTAGTCCGCCGAGTGAAGCAAAGCAAGTGGAAGAGATTCGCGTTGCTTTGTGTTTCTTGTGTGATCAGAGCCCCTCCATCCACTGGTGTATCGGTGCTCCATTCTCCAAGACTCTTGAATAGAGACAAATGCATCCTGGCCAAGAGATTTATTGGGTTTGATGACTGAACCAAGCAATCCCAAGAAATCCATAGGTGTGAGACTTAAATAAACCTTGTCAGATATCCTTCCTGCCCCTCACCACATTGCACAAGCCTCACGATCACCAAAATAAAACTCGGGTCTATTCACTCCTCTCACTTGTTTACTGATTTACTTGTGCACTGCGACCTACATGAGAAGATCGAAAAGCGGTTCAAAAAGTCGAGAATCCCCTTACTTATTGTTTCTTCTTCTTGTTGTTCTTCTCCCACGTCTTCCTTCTTCTACTTCCTCGACGGAGTATATCCATCTCCCACCCCCTCTCCCCAAGAGACATTCGATTATCTTTCCCCCCCCCCCCAAAGAACATTATACCCCCAATTGATTTCGCTGTACCGTGTACGCGTTTTCATTAATTTACCACATCTTATTACCTACTATTACCTCCTATCACCTACTACTACTCAACTCTACCTAGACACTTTGAGATTGATTGATTTATATTAGTAGCTCTTTTTACTGAGCGCTTTCCCACCACCCACCCAACTTCACCCCTCCATTACCAAGACTTTAAACGCTACTTATCCATCCTTGGGCCGAACCTAAACCGAAAGCCCCTCCGTCCCGTCGTGATAAATCCAACGAGCAAAGAAGCTCAACAAATACATCACAATCCAAATCTTCTCAAAATTTCAATCATGGCTCACCACGATGAGAAAGGTCCTCATGGAGATGGAGCTTACAGTGAAGTTTTTGAGGAGGGTTCCGATATCAAACACCCACATACCGTTCATCGCATCAGAGCCAACTCCTCCATTATGCAACTGAAGAAGATTCTTGGTGAGCACTCAATCTATCATTCCATCTACTTACTATCATGAATCTACCAAGATCTCAAAGTTTCTGCAGCATATGCTAATCTATATCTCTTGCAATCTATAGTTGCCAATCGTGGAGAAATTCGTAAGTTCCCCCCCCCCCATCAATCAATCAATCGTTGTGTGATGTGACTCAAACTAACATTGTGTAGCTATTCGTGTATGTTGTCGTCCTATTACCACAAGCTGATAACTGCAGAATGTGCTGACCCGATCTTTTCGTCATTCAGATTTTCCGTACAGTAAGTTTGTTTGTTTTATCCTCTAGAGATTTCACCTATCGTCGTTTCTTACATGCATCAAACTGACTCGTCTCTTTTTCTAGGCCCACGAGCTTTCTCTGCAAACAGTCGCAGTCTTTAGGTAACGCCTTGGCGATAATCACATAGATGGACATCGGACTGACCGAGTTGATAGTTATGAGGACCGTCTCAGCATGCACAGGCAGAGTGAGTACAAATCTACAAATCAAAAGTACACACGGTGA